ATATAAATAAGAAGAAAAAAAAATCTGGTTATTTGAACCAGCATTAACAACAACAACAACAAAGCCAGTACTAGACAATAGGCAGAAAAAAATGTCATAAAGTACCGAGAGAGAGAGAGAAAAAAAGCCGAAAATGAAACCAGAACCGAGAGATGAAAAAAACTTTGAAATATTCATAATACAAACCCTATAGAGAGAGTCTACTTTCAATTCTGTTTTTTTTTCTCATTTTTCTTGAATTTCAAAAAAAAGAAAATTTTTTTTCATTTCATTTCCATCTTCAACAACAACAACAACAAAAAACCGTTAATCCGATTATTCATTCAATTATTAAATATTTAAATTTTGTTTCTGTTCCATTTTTTTCTTCGTATTTTGATTACAGAAAACGAAAAAAAAATGATGAAAAACTTGCCTTTTTTGTTCACAAAAAAAATATAATGTGCGTGCACACGCACACGCAGTGGTATTTCTATATGTAAAAACAAATTAAACAGAAAAAAAAGATGAAGAAAATGATGATTATGATGGATAAAAAAAAACGGAAGAAAAAAAATGGCAAGTAGGTGCTTGAAGAAGAAGAAGAAGAAGAAAAAAAAAACGTAATAACTTTCATTTCTTTCCATTTACTTACTTTATCATCATCTCAAATAACACAAATTTTTTTTTTTTTTTTTTTGGTTGTTAATGGCAAAAAAATTTACCTATGTCACTATGGAGAAAATGTATGGCTAAAACCATTGTGGCCATTATCATTTTTTTTTCTACCTTTTTCTACCTTTGTTCTCCAGTGATTGACCAAATTGATTTTGGTTTAATCTACATTTTTTTTTTGCCGTGTGTTTCATCATTGAATTCATCACATGAAAAAAAACATGATCAATATTTGTCTCTCTCTCGAATATGAATTCAATTCGCAAATATACGGGACATACACACACACAAACAAGACAAACGAATGCTGGTGGAATCAAAATTGATGAACAAGAAAAAACCATGTATGTTTGCACAGTGAGTGAGTGAGTGAGTGAGTTAGTAAGCGAAGAATAAAAAAATTTGAAAAGATCTGGAAATATTTCCCATTTTCTTTCGTTATTTTTTTATGATGGTTCCAAAAAAAAGTCATTCTTGAATCAAATTGAAATGTAACAAGAGAGAAAAAAAAATAAGTTGATGATGATGATGATGTGAAGCACTAACAAGTCCGAACAAAAAAAAAAAAAAAAAAGTTAAACACACAGTTCGAGTCGAATCGAATCGAATCGAATTGAATCGAATTGAATCGAATTGAATTGAATATCGAACAACAACATTTTCGTTTGCTCACCCAATGATCATAGAATCAACATTACGGTGTAGAATGAATGAATGAAAAAAAATATTCTGAAATAAAAAGAAAGCGGAAAATCAGAATTCCATATATTCAAAATAGCTAGTTGAATAAAAAAAAAGTTGTTGAATTGAATTGAATTGAATACACGGAATAAATGTGTTCTGTTGTGTTGTGTGTATGTAATATGTAGGATTCTTTACTTTTGAATAAAATCGAGAATACAGAATTTCTCTGTGTGTGTGTGTGTATGTGTTTGCTATCCAAATTCGATTGTAACGATTCGATTGCTGTTCAAATTGAAATGATATGATAATCAAATGAATGAAGTGAAAAGAAGAAGAAGAAAAAAAACAAAGCAAAGCAGAACAATATTCATTTGTTTTGTTTTTTTTTTTTTGTTCACCTATGGAATTGAAAGTGGAAAAAAAAAATTTTTTTTTCAAGAATTTAAAATTAAATTTACCTCATCATATATGGATAAAATAATCATCTTCAATATTGGTGAAATTGTAATTGAATTTCAGCATCTTCATTTTGGGTTTTATCGTTGTTATTATTGGTTATCCGTCAACAGAATATTCTTTTGTCAATTGTGTGTGTGTGTGTGTGTGCGCTGTTGTGCTTGATTGCAAAATCAATTTATTCATTCATTTTGATTTGGTAAACAAATGAAGAACAGAGAAAAAAAATCATTTGGGAAATGAAAATTGAATCGACAGAGAGAGAGAGAGAGAAGAAAAAATACACACAATGGCACACACACACACGATACAATTTGCATTTCTAGCCAACCAGATTCTAAAACAATGTCGATGCAATCTAATATTTATTAAGATTTCTTCAAACCAAATCTTCAAATTGTAATTGAAAGCAGAAGATAGAACAAAAAAAAATTCATTACCGTTTCATTGCTGCTACTGTTGAATTGAATTGAACAGAAACAAAAAATCATGTCAAAGTAAATAATAATCTGATCTGTGCTTGGCCCATTGGTCGATTGGTTGGTTGGTTGGTTTGATGTGTCCACACTATATTTTCCGCTGAACTAAATGATGATTCAATGGAATCAAAAAAAATAAAAAAAAATATGACAAAAAATTGCCAGCAGAATAGAAATCTCACTTATCGGCCCTAGGTCCTTAACATTTTTTTATTATTATTCAAGTTTCCTAGTCTCTTGAAAAAAAAACACAGAACGACAATGACAGTGAATACATCATCATCATCATCATCATCAGCCAACAATGTGGAAAAACCTATTGAAATGAATTTTTTTTTTTTGGATCCATGTTGATGATGTAATCGTTTTCATTTTCATTCATTTTATTTTTATTTCTCTCAATCTCGTGATTCATTATGATGATGATGATGATGAACAATGATGAACAATGAACAAATGATGATTTGTTTCATTAAATCATAATGAATGGAAGTGAAAATAAATTTTTTTTTTTTTTACTTTTTGTTTGCAATGAATCTCATGTTACCAGTGTAGAAAATCATGATTTTTTCAAGTGTCAAATTATGACTTTTTTTTCTCTTTTCTCTTGTATAAAATAATGACGATGATGATGATGGTAAAAAAAAATTTGATGAATGTGTGTGTGTGCAATTGTTTTGGCATTAGTTTACTTCAATACAACAATATCTTGATGTTGGAAATTGGTTCAAACTCATTATTATTATTGGGACAAAGAAAAAGAAAAAGATTTTTGTTGCCATTACGTCAATGTGATGTAATTATTTTGTTTCTTCTTCTTCTTCTTCTTCTGGTGGGACACGATATTTCACATTTAGTCTATTCGTCAAATTTGACTGCGCATGTTATGACTTTTTTTCTCTTTTCTCTTGTATAAAATAATGACGATGATGATGATGGTAAAAAACTTGATGAATGTGTGTGTGTGTGTGCAATTGTTTTGGCATTAGTTTTCTTCAATACAACAATATATCTTGATGTTGGAAATTGGTTCAAACTCATTATTATTATTGGGACAAAGAAAAAGATTTTTGTTGCCATTACGTCAATGTGATGTAATTATTTTGTTTCTTCTTCTTCTTCTGGTGGATGTATGTAAGGTAAAAAAAAAATTTGGTCATTTTTTTGTTTTTGCTGTAGAATGAAAAAAAAAATTTTTTGATTGAAAGAATCAATCAATCAACGGCTATAAATAGGTTATTAAAAATCTCTGGCATCCAAATAGACAATTTATTTCAATTTTCAAACATTATCCGGATGTTAAAACAGAATGAAATGATATCCATCCATAGATCAACATCATCAATAATAATTTTCGTTTGTTGTTGATTTTTTTTTCATTTCATTTCATTCATTTTTCACACGAACACAAGCGCTCACTAACTAAAACAAAAAATTTATTCATTCGAGATTCGAATCGAGGTAAAGACGCATTCAGAAACATTGGAAGATGATGGATTTTTATTCTTACTACACTTGAAAAACGTGTGTGAAAGACAAAAAACATGTGTGTGTGTGTGTGTGTCTGCTGCTGTTATCCACTATTATTATTATTATTGAGATTACAGAATAAAAGATGGTTAAAATGTCACACACACACACAACAACAACAACAAATGAGAAACAAAACAAAAAAAAAAAAAAAATATTGTTCATGTTTCCTGTCAAATTAATTCTTTGAGATGTAGAAAATTCTGTCGTATACATTACATACCTTTCTGATGAAGTGGCTCAGTGAACAAACAACAAAAATAAATTTTTTTTTTTTTTTTTTTTTTTTTGAAACAATTTCCAGGAACATCAAGAAACAAAAACAACAAAATGATAGAGTAGAGTAGAGTAGATGATGATGATGATGATGACAAATAATAAATAAATAAAAAACGATATGTGAATAGGAAAAAAAGTCTAAGACTTGGTTATTATTATTGATTGAAAAATGAAACTCAATGTTTGCAAACGTCATGTAAACCAAGAAACACCACACACAGAGAAGAAGAAGACGAAAAAAAAATTATCATCACCGATAACAAAACAAAACAAAACAAAACAAACAGAAAAAAAAACCAGGAATATGATCCATATATTTCAAAAAATTTATAAATCAAACGTTGAATGAATGAATGAATGAATGAATGGTAAAAAAAATATTCATATTTGCATTGAATGAAAACAAACACGAACAAATATATAGTGTTGATGAATGAATGTAAATTCTGGAATATTCATCATACAAATCAAATACAAACGGAATTCAACAAAAGAAAATGTTTTTTTTGTACCAAATTCATTGATTTGAATGAATGACAATATTTGATCATTGCCATATACATAAATGCTTTTGGGCAATGATGATGATGTTGAATTTTGAAAAGATTTACATATGATGTTTACACACGAACATAATAAATATATGGATGAAAATTTAAAAAAAATTCGAACATGTTCCCCAGTTCTCAGAGTCCATTCATATACTAAGTATTTGAAATTTAAATTTTTAAATTTTTTTAAATTTTTTTTTTTTGATGAATTAAAAGTGAAAATAAAAAGCAAAAATAAGAGATAAATAAATTACATATGACAAAAGAAAAAAAACTTGATTATGATGATAATCAATCAGGATAATTGTTTAAAAAAATTGCTTTTGGCAAAAATGATAAAATTCAATCTAATGATGATGATGATGGAAAAAAATATTTTTTCATTTTCATTTGTTTTCTAGTTTGTTAGAGAAATAAGCTAAATGTTTCTATGTATTACAATGTTATGATGTTGGATTTACTTTATATGCATAGAATAATTCCAATGGTTTATTTGCTTTCCAATATTGATCATCTACTTGTGATAATGTAACCGATCCTTGTAATGGATTATATTGGCCAGGTCCAGCAGCTATATACAATGTGAAATGGAAATGCTGACGATAATGATGTTGTTGAATGTGATGTTGATTGAGCACTATCATTGGTTTTTGTATTGACCATTGATTTATCACCAGTTTTTATTCCATTATTCGTATTGTTATGATGATGATCATTATCATTACGTGCACCATCATCATCTTCGGATGATTCAAAATTATAACGCATTTTTAAATATTTAGCAATATGATTTATAGTTGCAGTGGTTGTTGTTTTCAAAAATCTTGTCTGATTCAATGATGGATCCTAAATTTGAATTGAATTGAATTGAATGAAATCAATCAGTCAAAAAAAAAACAATCAACATACTCTTCGTTCAACTTGTGGCAATGGTTTAATGATCAATTCAATTTCTTGAACATTATCATCATGATTATCGGAATTGTTTTCATTTGGAAAGCCATTCGAATCATTTCTCATACGTCGATTTTCAACGGAATCTATCAATTGTGATTACAAGAGAGAAAAAATGATTAGTAAATTAAAAAATAACAAAAACGAAAACAACAAACCATCATCATTATTAAGAGATTTTTTTCCACGTGTTCGATTCAATGCTTGCATACGTAATGTTTCTTCAATATTTTGAACAAAATGTTTGTTGACACTATTGATAACTCTTTCCTGTTGGGCATCATATTCTTCACGGCTTGGATAAATTTTCGAAATCAACATATCGAAATTTGGATCAGCACGTAATGAACGTTTTGATATTAATTTTTTACGACATGTAGGACATTCTTTATTACCACTACGCAATGCAGTGATAATACAATCATGACAAAAACGATGTAAACATTCTTTTGTTGTCATTGTTGATTTCAACATGTCCAAACAAATTGGACACATTAATTCAGAATGTAAACTACGTGGACTAACAGCGATTTCAGTATTATCAGTGATAACTTCTTGTGGTTGTCGATGTAATTCATATGGGCTTAATTCCCATGTCTTGCCACCAAAATTTATTGTTGAATCCGATTGTGACATGGTTTTTGTCAATAAAAATTTTCGAAAAAAAAAATAAATTTCCAATGAACCAATGAAATTTCAACACAAAACAATGTATTTTACAAATCTTTGAATTTCGATTTTCGTTTTTTCTTGCTTTGTTGATGAGAACAAAACGAAAATTATGGCTCACCGTTTGATGTAGTTCTTTTTTTTGTTTACGACGCATGTTCTAAAATGAGCAAAAAAAAAAAAATCCAATCCTATCCTCTATGAATGGACCACCATTGTCTGCAAAATTGTTGATCATGATTTTTTTTGGGAGTATCCATCCATCCAGCCATAATTTATATATTGTTTGTTTGTGTGACAATTGTATCCTTATTTCTTGGAATAAATAATCAATTTTTTTTCCTCCAATTTCCTTCATCACTACCAAATCATTCATTGTCTTTTTTTGTCTGCTGAAGCAACAAACCAATAATAATTAATAATAAGTTATGGTCATGGAAACAGTGATCAATCCGGAATTGAATGAACATTTGAATTCCAATGGTCAATCATCACAACAACAGCATACAACCAATCTAGAAGAATTATGTTCATTATTACGAAATGAAGTTCCTGAATCACGGCAAACATTATTGGATACACAATCGAATTTGGAAAAGGTTGCCGATTATTGTTCAACAGCATATATTGAGGTATTGGTTAGAAATTTTGTTTAAAATTGTTTTACTTAATTTCATTTTTTTTCAATTGATTTAGTCTGACGATAAACGATTTGCATTTGAAAATACGAAAAATTATACGACACATTCATTGGCATCAGTTGCATATCAAATAAACACATTGGCCTTTAATGTTTTACATATGCTTGAATTGCAAACAAATCAAATATCCGAAATGGAATCACAGATGAATTATATATCGCAAAAATTTCAATTTCATAATGAAAAAGTTGCACGTAGAAAGATTGCATTGCTTACATCAGCCAAAACAATGGTACGACAACCAAAAGTATTGATGCCTGCAAATCAAGAAAAACAATCCAAATACATAAGAAAACCAATTGATTTTAGTCTTTTGGATGATATTGGTCATGGTGTAAAAATTTCTAATCAATCCAATTTCTTAAGAAGCCTAAATACAACTAGTAATTCAGGTCGAATGAGTGGTGTACAAACATTGGGACCAAAATCATCAATGTCATCATTATCACATTATCATCATTATAATACATTGAGTGGTGGTAGTGGACCAGCGCCAACAACAAAACCACCGACACCACCACAAGCCATACGTTCTGGTTTCGGTACATTATCACGTTCATCACAGAATAAAGAATATCGTGCATTAGTACCACCAATAGCGCCACCACAAGTGCCAAAAAATTATGAATCAAATTATCCAATTGGTCATCCAAAAAGTGCTATCATACATCGACAACCTAGTATTACTGGCAGTACTGGAAGTGGAACTGGTGGTGGATATGCAACTGGTCATCATCATCATCAACAAAATAATCAATATATGGCCGGTTATTCACATTATCATCCCGGTTCTTCTGCTGTTTCATTAAATTCAAACATGTATGGCCATACAACTAATAATAATAATAATAATAATAATCAGCAACAAATAAATACTAGTTTGGATAATAATAATAATAATGATAATAATAATTGTCCACCACCGCCACCACCACCACCTCTGCCATCAGCTCAATTAGATCCAAATGATTCTTCATTACCCGATCCACCATCTCCATCCAATATTCAACAACAACAACATCATCATCATCATAGTAATTATGATGGTCGTAATACAACAGGTACGTTGAAACGTTGTTTTTTTTTGCTAGCTGGTAAATTTGAATTTATTATTTTTTTACACACATATTTAGCATCACCACCGCTGCCACCACCTCCTCCAACCATTGATAATGTTCATCATGGTATTAATCATCATCCAATGATGAATAAACAACATTCCATTTATGGTACATCAAGTATGAGACAAAATGTTCCAGATTGGGTACCAGCTAATTATATTGAAAAAGGTAAGAAAAAAAAATTTCATAGTGATTTTGACTAATAATTTGGCTATCATCATCATTTTTTTTCAACAGTAATTGCCATCTATGATTATTCGGCCGATAAAGATGATGAATTGACATTTCAAGAAAATTCTGTCATTTATGTAACACGTAAAAATGATGATGGATGGTTTGAAGGTGTTATGAATGGTGTACTTGGATTATTTCCTGGCAATTATGTTGAACCATGTCTTTGAACAACATGAAAACATTTTCAATTTATTTAATGAGTTTTTTTCAAGTATTTTATATCACTATATATAACAATATATTTTTTATGATAACCAAAAAAAAATTTTTCAATTTTTTTAAATTAAAAAAAACAAATCAATTATTCACCTGTTGTAACGGCATTTTTTAATGGTCCATTTTTTTCAGAACCAAAAATAAAAATGATGAATACGCATGCGTTAATACTCATGAAAATATGTGGTGTGTGTTTTTGTGTGTGTTGTGTGTGTGTGTAACGAAATCAAGTGCTACCACACCATTGATGATGATGATGATTATTACACTTCCCACCAATCCAACAACCATCATTATCGTCAATGAAAAAAAATTTATAACGAGTGTCGTTCAAAAGAATTCATCATTATAATAATTCATTCAATCTCCAGTGTATAAAACGCGCGCGTTGTTAAAAAAAAAAAAACATACCACCACTACCATCTTCTTCTTCATCATCATCATCATCATCTTTTGCCAAATTACTAAATTACATTCTCTCTCTCTCTCTTTCTATCTTTCTTTCTCAACCGTAAATTGCCAGCTACCATCACAATATCAACGACGTTGTTGTCGTCGTCGTCGTCGTCGGATTATATATACACACGCCCGATCTGGCAACCTGGATTTTTATTCTTTTTTTTTTTGTTGAATCAATCAGTTTTTGTTTTCGCTGGTTGCAAACAACCATCATCAGAAAAAAAAATCGATTATCGTTAAAATAGTGATGATGATGATTATATAATAATTCTCTTGGTGTTTGTTTGTTTATTTGTTTGATTGATTTATTGATAAATTTTACATCACAACATTTTTTTTTTGTTTTCTTGTCGATGAGATAACAATCAACAATATCCGCTATTTACGAACGATCCAAAAAAAAGTTTGTGTATGTGTGTGTGTGTTGACTTGGCGCCGACTCCACCATTATTCTTTGGGAATTTTTTTTTCTTCTAAACAACAACACACACATACACGCATACAATATATTACTCAACTTTTGACCGCGTTGAAGAAGAGAATTCTTGTTTAACTCTATGCCACTGATGACGATGATATAGATAGATGGTGCTCAACGTTTAATGAAAATAATAATAAAAAATCGAATCGAATCGACATTACATCTAAACACCAGAAATCGCCTTCTATCATCAATATTATCTGGTTTCAAAATTGTCTTGTTAAAAATCAATCAAATAATTTTAATCTGTCATTTGTTGTTGTTGTTGTTGTTTAAAATTCTATATCGAAAAAACAAACAAATCGTTAATTAATTAATACTCAAATCACTCCATTTTTTTGTCATTGTTATTTGATCTTGTTAGTCGCTCAAATTTTTTTTTTCATTATCCAATTTTTTTTTACACAATGGCTGAGGTAAAAGTATTTTTTTTATTCATATATATCTGGTATTTTAATAATTTTTTTTTCGTTTGTTTGTTCTCAAATTTTAGCCAAACGCAAATGATTCAAATGTCAGCAGTGGTGGTGGTGATGATGGTGATGTTGGCGGTGGTGGTGGTGGTGGTAGTTGTGGTAGTGATAGTGATCAAGATTTTGATCCAACTGCCGAAATGTTGGTTAATGATTTTGATGATGAACATACATTGGATGAAGAAGAAGCATTATGCGATGATTTCGATGATGATGATGATGATCTTTCAAATAAAGATGAGATTGAAAAATTGAATCAAGAAAAAGATATTCCAATTGAAGAATTATTACGAATGTATGGTTATGATAAACCAGCAACCACAGCAGCAACAACAACGACTTCAGATAATAATAATAATAATAATAATGATCAATCAACATCTGATTCATCAAATTCAAATAATTTGAATAGTCAAACAATGGCAACAGCATCATCATCAACAGCAACGGCTAATACAGCCGTCAATAATATTAATCAATTATTATCTGATTCATCTGATGATGATTCTGATGAAGATTTTTCAGTCAATGAAGATGAATGGAGAAGAACCATACAGGTTGGTTCAGATTTTCAAGCTGTCATACCAGAAGGATTAAAACATTACGATGATTCTATTATTGTTGGTCATCATCATCATAATAATAATTTATTATTATGGAAACCGATATTATCTCAATTGAATTTGGATGATTATTTAATAGAATATGCTAAATTATCACTTTCAAATGATGAAGATAGTAGTAGTAGCCTTAATGATTTTGAATTACCAACTGGAAAACATTTCAAAGATGATGAACAAGCACTATTTACATTATTTCAATGTAAATATGATTGGAAAAAGGCACTAAATTTACATGAAAATGATGATGAACCAAAGGCACCAATTAGTGAACCAATGACGCCATGGACAGAAGAAGAATGTCGTGCCTTTGAAAGTGGCCTTCGTGTTTTAGGTAAAGATTTTTATCAAATTAAACATTCACGTATACCAACACGATCAGTAGGCGAAGTGGTTTCATTCTATTATCTTTGGAAAAAGACTGAAAGACATGATATTTTTGCTAATAAATTTCGTATTGAAAAGAAAAAGTATTCATTACATCCAGGTACTACGTAAGTATATTATAAGCATTTTTTTTAAACTTCAGTCATCATCATTTTATTTTTCTTTTAATTTTTGTTTACAAATATAGTGATTATATGGATCGATTTTTGGATGAACAAGAAAATGTATCAATTAATATGCCATTCAACAATAATAGTAATACCTTAACAATGTCAAATCCAAATGTCCAAATAAATGTACAACAGCCACAACAAACACAGAATAATTCCTCATCATCAAATCATCATTCTCATCATCATAATCATCATCATCACAGTCACCATCATAATCATCATCATGGTATGAATATTTCTTTACAACAACAACAACAACAATCATCATCATCATCATCGTCGTCGTCTAATCGACAATCATTACATCATCATTCACATCATGCTCAACAAACAACAACACCATCGTCGTCACATTATCACCATCCTCATCATCATCATTCACATCATAATACTAATAGTAACAATATGTCACTTGGCCGAACTATACAAGTTTCGAATGAACCTCAAACAATACTTATTAATGATTATCATGTTTCTAGTAATGGTAATTATAATTAATTTTAACTAAATATAATAATAAATTTTTTTAATTCTAAAATGATTTCTGAAAAAAAATTAGATGATAAACCAATTGTCGTATGCACTAGCGGTGGTATGGGAAGTAGTGGATCATTGAATCGTGGAAATTATTATGGATCCACTAGTGGTTCAATTAATGAATCATCATCATCATCATCACCAAATACGACAACAATTGTTGTTGGAAAAAATCCTGTTGTAATTGATGGAACATGGGTATCATCTTCAGCTTCATCATCATCATCAACAACAACAACAGCAACTAATCTAACACCATCGGTATCAATCTATAAAATACCACATACATCATCATCATCATCATCATTTAATCGTTAAACGGCCATTGATTTTTTCGTTTCTTTCCATCACTTTTTTTTTCTTACTTTTTGATAAATTTTTTCTTTTCATGTAAATTTCATCAATTTTCTTTGAATTTTTCTTTTCATTTTTTCCAACAACAACAACAACAAAAATTTCATCACCAAAATTATGATTAATCTCTGTTTAAATATGTTTTTTTTGAAATTTATTTTCACATTTTTTCAAAAAAAAAAAAAATTGAAAAAAAAATTTCCAAATTTTTTTTACTTACTCTATGAATGGGAATGAAGATTTGGAACAACAAAAAAAAAAAAGAACGAACGAAATGGTTGTTGTTTTTGCGCATATGCCGCAAGTATAGAAAAACTTGATTGTGAAAACAACAACAGGGAGAGAAAGAAGAAATCAAAGTTGTAAAAAAATTTCGTTGCTCAATCGCTCAATTTTCTACTTGATGTTTTTTTTTTTTTTTGCTTTCGTGTTATGAAGAATATTTTTTTTTTTGTTGCTCCAAATTGTCGAATCAGAATTTTCTATTCTAACTAATCAATTAATCAATCAATAATGGGATCGGAACCAATCAATCCAAATCTAATGGCTATGAATATATTTCATGATGATTTTCCATTACAATTATCAACGATTACGATGAATAAAAAAAAGAAAAAAGATTGTAATAAAGAATTTATACGAATACGGACATCATCATCAACCGATAATGATGATGATAACGTACAGCAACAATGTGCTATTTGTCTGGAAGATATACGTGAAAAAACACGATTATTACCATGTTCACATCAATTTTGTCAATATTGTCTTTTTCAATGGATCAATGTTAAATTATATTGTCCTGTATGTAGACAGAATGTGGAAAAATTATTATTTAAAAATACAACTGCAAACAGTTATGATGAAGTTTTAATCAAATCAAAATCATCATCATCATCATCAACAACAACAACAACAACAACGACAACAAGAATTCATGATGATTTTAAAGATTTTCTATATCAAACATCAACAATGTTGAAAATAGGATTGAAATGTTTATATGAATATTTTACTAATCATGCCGAATTGAAACAAGTATCAATGAATAATGATGATAATAATAAATTGCCAATCATAAATATGGAAGATTTTCGTCGTGGTCTTTATGGTTCTTGTAGTAATCGTATTATTTGGATATTTTTTCGTAATATGACATATCAATATAATCTATCACCATATAGAGATAATCAAACTATTTGTGGATTTACCACTGCTACTAATAATATTTTTCGTGATGTTACATTGAATTTTATACGTGAAAAACCGGCAATCATTGCACGTATTGTTGAATTTGCAAAATTTGATTTGGAAAATTTACAAAAAGTATTAAATTTTCAAATCAATACATTTATTTATAGTGAAATAAAAAATTTATTGTCCACATACGATATATCAAGCAGTGAATTTCGTGTTAATCTACGATCATTATTACAATCATATTGTCAAAATAGTCCGGATTTTTCATATAAATTCTTTATCGAATTGAATAATTTTGCCCGTAGTAATCGTACAACGGTCATTGATTATGTACAGAATACATCATATATAATGCCCAAAATGAATAAATTATCATCGACTGAAATTATAACATTGACTGAATCATCATCATCATCGTCATCATCATCATCTGATTCCGATATACAGATTATTGGTACAAATTCTGTGAATAAACGTTCAAGAAATGATCATAATGAAGATTTACTATTATCAACACCAGCAGGACCAAGTGGATTGAAAAAAAATCCAGTATTAAATACCAATAATAAATTCAGAAACAGCCATCATTGTAATGTAAAAAATCGTATTTATAACAAAAAAGATATAAGAGAAATGCGTCGTATCATACGTAATGCATATAATTCTGAATATTTCTATAGAAAATTATTATTGGAAATTAAGAAAAAATTTTACAATTTTGAAACCGTACTCAATTCACGACATTTTCAACACTTGACTGATTATTTTAAAGATGTATTATTATCATCAAAATTATATCGTTCCAATAAACTAAGCAGTACTGTAGCATCGAAACGAACATTGACCATTGATGAAATTAATCAACGTTTAAAGAAAAATTCATCGACAACAACACCGACAACAAGTTCATTATCACGTTCATATAGTTCATCCGATAGTAGTAGTAGTAGTAATGGTGATAATAACATATCTGATTGTCAAATAATACTCGAACAATATGAATATGCAAATCAAACAAAATTGAATAATCAAATCATGAAACATGCATTATCACCATCATATTCGATTGCAAGCCATCTATTGATGATGCCACAAATTAATCAGATACAATTTGAAAATCATATTTATTCAGAAAGTGATTGAGTTTTTTTTGTTCATCATCATCATCACCACCATTGATTGATTGATTGATTGATTGTTTCATTAATTTTCAACAAGTTTTTTTTCATGAATTTTTCTTTTTAATAATTTTTTCTCCTTCAATCATCATCATTTTATTATTGTCACATTCTGTACCACACACGTGCGCGCACACACACACATTCAATCATTTCTATATTCGATTTATTAATAATAAAAATAATTTTAAAAAATTTTTCTTGTGTGTTTGTTTTGAATAATCACAGATAAGTGGCCGTATTGTTTGTTGATGTTGGTGACTGTGATGATGGTGAAACGGATGATCCACGATATGAATTTTGATGTTGTGATACTGTACGACTTTTTCTTGTACGTGGTGTTGGTGTTGGTGATAAATATCGATTTATTGATTGATTTTCACCAACGTCATCATCATCATCATCGTCATTATAATCAGGTGTCAATGATGTTAATATGGAATTTTTTTCCTCTTTCAATTGTGAATATTGTAAACTTGCTGTCTGTATTTGATTAAATGATCGTACCTGTAATGTTTCACAATATTTTTCAATGACAATTGGTACAAATTTATCCAATATAAAAACAATATTTTTGCGTATAAATTCATCTTGATTGAATTGATCATCATCATCATTATCATCATTACCATTACCATTATGATTATGATTATTATGTAATAAATCACGTAGATAATTCATTTGCCATTGAAATGATTTGACAAGAATTTTGTTTATAGTACGTATTGAATATGGATCATGCATTAATTTAAGTAAATCTTTCAATGTGTTTAAATATGATTTTGCATATGAACAAGTATTGTAGCTTAACATTAATTGATAATGATCATTTGTATGTACAATCAATTCTCGTACATCAAGATCATGTTCATCCATTTCGGAAAGAAATTTATTCAATTTTATTTTCGATTCAAATGATAGTGGTTCCATTGCATTTTCGTTGGCACGTAATTTTATTGCTTCCATAAATTTATTATGAATTTCGTCAATCAAATTTTTTATATCATTTTTAAGCGTTTTGTTCAATACAAACAGCAGATCGATGCCAATTGTTTGTCGTAGTTTTGTACATTGATTCATTGCTAACGATACACATTCAACAGCGGCCAATGTATTCACCTGATTGATAAACACATGACGTGGAAACAATGCTAAATAACGTTGAAATTCATCATAAATCCATGAATTCAAACATGCCAATGCTGTATGGCTATATGATGTGGATAATGATTTCGATGAATTGATTAAAAATTCTTCATTACCATGATTTTGATGATGATTCTGTTCAAGCCAATTAAGCGATGAATTATTTGATGATTCTTGTTCATATAGATAACAATCTGATTGATCAATATCAAAGGCACGTAAAAATTCTTTCGATGTCTTGATAAAATGGCTGAAAAATAAATTTGTCATACGTTTCATGAACGATATGGTGGCACCATCGGTAATTTTTTGTTGTTTAAAATAATATTTCAATAAACGTTTTCGTTGATCCAGAAACAATCTTATGGCCAATGATGATTTACCTAATTGCACTAAAAGTGCAACAGCACGACGTGATGCACGTGGTCCAGTTTGTAATGAACGATCAGCGGCCACATTTAATTCACTACTTAGCGCTTCAACCAATTCGGATATTTTGTTATCAATTTTCAACTTCAGATCCACATGCATTTGATTATCACACCATTTTGGATAAAGATAAAAATGTTCATGTGCACGTGTTACCAATTTTACGGCTTCATCAAAATTACGTTGTGCAATATAAACATCTAGATCATCCGGTAATTCTATCAACCATGTTGGTAATTCTGCGTCCATTTCATGATCATTTTCTTCCATTATTTCATTACTTTCTTCATATGATTTGGTTGCCGTAAATGTTAATGGTGTTGATTTCGATGCATTATTCATCATGGTGGTGGTGGTGGTGGTGGTGGTCGTCGTCATCGTCGTTGTTGTTGGACTCATAATAAGATTTGAATAATTTGTAGCTTTTGTTGTATCCAATATGATTGGATTATTAAATGATGATGGTGATGATGTTGATGATGAAATATTATAAAGTTGATTATGTCGCTGTAGACGAAGATATTTTTTCGCAGCTTCAAATGCATCGATCCATGTTTTCTTTTTGGCCGGTGAATTGGTAAGAAATACTTTATCATCAGGTGTTCCCATCAATATTTTGAATGCCATTTCAAATTTATTATAACGACGATCTTTAACATTAACAATTGCAATTGATTCTAGATCAATGATTGATTGTAATTTATATTTTCTCATTGGCATTGTTGATCGATCAATGGCTAGTGTTGAAATGATCAATGCATCATTAAGAAGTACAAGATGAAGATTTTGTAGTTCAGAATAATTTTCATCCAATTCAATAACTTCACCATCACAATAAACAAGTGAATTTTGACGATTATCCAATAGACCAGTGCCACCATCAATATATTCCATAAGTGTACGAAATTCTTTTGTAGGCAATGGACCATTTATGGTGGCTGCTTGTGACATTTGTAACATTTTACGTTCACGTTCTTCTTTTACTTTTTCTTGTGCTTCTTTTTTTTCGCTTAATGTTAGGCCAGTTTTTGAACCACCAATCGATATTGATAATAATGATTCTAATAATTTATATTCATCATTCAGATAACTACTTAGCTGTGACATTTCACTTTTCAGATAGGATATTTCTTGTGATGTATCGATAAAAAGTTGATAATTTTTATAAACATTTTTCTTTAGCTGTGTATTTGTTTCATCGGCACAATTCTGTACGGTTTTACGTGCATTCAATAATTCTTCCAATGTTACAGATGATTTTGTTGTTAGTTCACAAATATAAAGCATTGGATCTTTTTTAATTTGATTTATTGATGATGAATATCCCGTATATTCGCCCATTGTTTTCGTTGGTTGGTTGGTTGGTCGGTTGTTCAATATACGCCCACAGAAAATCGAATCGAATCAATCAAAATAATCTATAGATTAAAATTTTGATGAAAGAAAAAATTTATTGTCTGTAATGTTTATTTCGATTATTAGAAAATTGATCGATTGATTATAATCAAGGTAAACCTTTTTGTTTCATTTCATAAAAATCATGATGATGATTCAGCTGATGATTTGTTTTGGCTTCTTCTTCATGTGTGTATTGTATAAACTCCTCATCATCGTATAGATGTCGCTACCGGTTTACTTGCAATGTATAAAAAATTGACACACCTAATTTTCCAACATTTTGCCACATCAGATCAGATGAATCTTTATATTGATTTCTGGTGATTTCTGGTGATATTTTAAAATTTTCAATATTGATAATTTAATAATTTATACAGAATACGATGCATTAATTTATGATAATTAGTTTTAAATTTTTAAAAAATGGAATTTTTTTTATTGATTATAGCGAAAAAAATCATCATACAACTTTTAGCTACTGTAGCAAAAATGAAATTTTTTCACTAATATTAGCGCATTTTTTGGGTAGTGTTAAGTTAAGATCATACTTCAAGGGATCTATTGAAGTACGTTTCTTCGGCTTCATGAACAACATGAAGTTGACTGGATCCACGATGACGAGGTATTGGGCATCTTCCTGAGCGCGAAACCGAAGCTTGGCTTTTCCATTTATTGGATTACGCCTAATGCTTCATTGATGACCGTTTTTATGGTTCGTTATTTGAATCATAAAAGGGAAGATGCTCGTTCCGAGTGGTCCCCATTAATTTAAATTTTAAAAAAGGATGCAAAATTTTTAATACACAAGTAACGAATCTATTCTTCTACTCGTCTATGTCGCTAAGCGTTTTGTTTGTAACTGCAATTTTTACACTCGCCAAGTGCTTGCACTTGGCATTTGATGGGAGGAAGCCGAGCCGGCAATTCCTAAAACATTATTGAGTTGTCTTTCGTCGATTTCGTTTTGAAATTCATTGTGATAATTCCCAACTTTGATTAACCGATTGTGATAAAAACGATTCTTATTTTCCATAAAAACCTAACTTTCACGTTTTAAATTTCAAATTTTTTTTTTGTAACGCTCTTTGTAAGTGTGTTTTTTTTGACAACGACTTATTTTGAATTTGTGTTTCATCAATTACAAGGGCTGGTATTATTCAAAGTACTAAAATATATCAACTATTGATAATTATTGGAACCCATGTATTACCTCTTATATTTCTATCGTCTTGTTTTCTATTTCAATTTCGAATAAATATAAATCATAATAGTCTATATGAAAAGACCATCGATTTCGAAAAAATTGATTTTTTTTCAATTGAGAATATGACCCTGATTATGTGACGCTGAAAAAGCACGTGTTTTGTTTTGTTAAAATTTAATATCATTTTCTAATTCGATTTTGCAAATTTGTTCAATATGTCACCAAGATATCTTTGTCTTCACATCATATTCCCGAAAAAATCGATGAAATCGATAACGAAGAACTCTTATAATCTCTTATAATATTATTGAATCATATTTATCCATTTCAATGCAACTTTAAAAATGTCATTTCTGATGAAGAGGAACTCGACGATACAACATCTCAAACTGTTAACGATGTTCCTGGTGAAATCGACTTCTTTTGGAAAAGAAAAATTTAAAAAAATACAGCTATTTTTTTCAACATTAAAACTTTTTGCAGTTATGAATAATTTGTCAATACGTGCAACAGCAACATTACTGTCCTCACTGTAAAACACCAGAAACATACACACTTTTCATTGTCCCAAATTTTCTGATATTACCAACAAATTTTTTTTTATCCACACTCCCACAATCACTTTGACAACACAAGTAATAATAATAATAATAATATAATGTTTTATTTCAATAATTTCAAATGACCAGTTATTTTATCAATCATTGAATTTGGTCCTGGACCTATTGCCAGAATGGTTTGGCCATTCTCATTACGTAATATCGTTGAACATATCAGCGATTCGGATGCTTGTCGTGCAAAATGTTCTAGATTTTCTTTCGAATTAGTTTGCAGTATAACTTTTGGCTGTCCAAACATTGACCATAAATAATGTGATATCGGTGTTTGTTTCCTCGATGTTTCAAATGCTTTAATCTATAGATAACGATAAAAACAAAAACCGATCAAATTGATTGAAAATTGATTTAAAAAAAAAATTCACCGAAACACTGGAACAAAATGATGTTAATTCGGAATTACCACTACTCATACAGCGAACATCATTCTTTGGTACAATGATCACAAGTTTTTGTCGCCATGATAATCTTGTTATTAACAGTGGTTTTTTAAATCTAAATCCAATTACAAATCCAAATAAAATTGGTGCAAAAATCCAAGAATCTTCAAAACTCATTTTTCATTCTTGTTTGATACTATCGATAGTTGTGGCCCACAATGAATACTATCGATTGTATCCTTGGTTTTTTTTTCATAAATTGTACAAGCAACAAGCATCATTCATTTTGTGTTTGTTTTTTTTGTGTGTGTGTAAATAAACATTTGCGCGCGCGGGCGTATAAATGTTCTCTCTCAATTTTTTTTCATCATTATGATGAGATGAGATGATGATGATGATCGTTGATGGATATCGCCCAAAAATCCTCCTAATATGGCAACCATCTCTTTCCATGTTAGGATCTATTTTTGAATATTTCTTCACATCATTTTTCTGTGTGTGTGTGTGTGTGTAGGATTATTCTGTTTATTCATTCGAATGTTTCAACATTTGTGAAATTTTACCATTCATCACATATATTCAAAAATAAACGGCAGCTTTTTTTAAAAAATATTTGATTGTTGATCTGGTAATTGAACCAATTTTGAATGATAATAATTATCGTTGAAAAATTTCTTTTTTCTCACCAATTAGAACTATATCGAGATGGCCACTCCAAGTCCACAACCACCGCAAACAAATGGTAAAACTACACCAAAATTATTCGAAACAATTGGAACATTTGGACGAAAGAAAAAAATTCGTGAAGGTTTGTTTTTTTTGTCGAATAAACCCTTAATGATTTGTGAAATTGATCAATTTAGCTGAAGCTGCACAAGGAATCGTTCAAGAAGGAAAACAAGCAATCGATGGTAATGAACAGCATCCAGTTTTTGATACATCACCTGAAAGTTTTGTTCTTGGTAAAAATGAATGAATGAAATGAAATGAAATTTCGTTTTTTCAAGATGTGAATTTTTTCTTCATTTCAATTATAGCCGATGGTGAAGAACGATCAATGATTGAACCAGGAATGATTAATAATTATGATTACCAAGAATTGAGAAAAATATTAATCAATTGGATCAACGATGAATTGAGGTTTGAATGTAGTGGAAATTTTTCAAATTTCTCAAATTTTTTAAATCATTTTTCAGTGATCATCGAATCATTGTTAAAGATTTGACCGAAGATTTATATGATGGTCAAATTTTGGGCAAACTTGTTGAAAAATTAAGTGGACAACAATTGGCCGTCGTTGAAGTGACACAGAATGAAGATTTTCAACGTGCAAAACTTAAAATGGTTCTTGAAACAGCTAATCGTTTGCTTGGCCTAGACGGACAACGTGTCCGTTGGACTGATAAAGGAATTCATAATAAAAATACGGTTGAAATTATTCATTTATTAGTTGCTTTGATACGATTTTATCGTGCACCAATTCGTCTGCCACCAAATGTTCAAATCAGTATTTTGATTATTCAGGTAATTTTTTTTTACTTTTTAGCGAATTGATCATTTGATGATTTTTTGTAGAAACTACAAGGTACCCTACATAAACGTGTTCAAACCGAATCATTGACTGAAGCATATGATGAATTAAGTAAACGTGCTGAACCAAGAGATGCATTTGACATGATTTTCGATCATACACCCGAAAAGGTTCATTCAATCAAACAATCTGTTGCACATTTCATTAATATGCATTTAAGTCGATTGAATATTGAATCAAGTCCACCGGATGATATTGATCCACATTCATTTAGTGATGGTTTAAATATTGTCTTTTTAATCGGCATGCTTGAAGGTTATTTTGTACCGCTTGGCAATATTTATACAACTGCATCGGTTGATCCTATTGCTGAAGCTGTTGGTACAAAAGAAACGGCTTTTAAAAGCCATAATTATATGGAATCATCACCACACCATAAATTACACAATGTTAATGTGGCATTAGAATTACTTGAAGATGCTGGTATAAATGTAATTATTGTTTTTTTTCAATTTCTAAAAAAATTTTGAATTTTAATTTTCTCTGTTTTTTTCATAATTCGAATATAATATACAGTTGCGAAACAAAGTTCGTGCCGAAGATATTGTCAATGCCGATCTAAAAGCCACACTACGTGTATTGTTTATGATTTTTTCCAAATATAAAAATGTTCGTTATTGAATTGATAAATTTGCGATAAATTCGGCAAAAAAAAAAAAATGGCAGACTAATTTTCAAAGTGTTCAAACGATGAGATGATATCGCAAATTTCGATCCATTATTCTAATAACTTTACCGCTAATTGATTGACAAAAGAATCGATATTCTTTGTTTTTATTATTATTTAAATTTTATTCTAAAAACTTTATTGACAAATAAATAATTTTCAACAAAAAATTTAAAAGGACGAAACATCCAAATTCATGGTATACATTCATAAATGACGTTATATAGTTTTCAATTGTCACACACACACACACAACCTGATGAGGTGTCTTTTTGCGGCTGTTTTACACACACACACACACACACATTCACATAACTCAAACACATCATCATCATTACATCGAGTGAGTTGCTCCCAAGGATTATTTAATTCAGTTTTTATGTCATCGATCAAACCATAAAAAATTGTACGAAAAAATAAAATAAAATTCAATCCGTCATCTAATGTCTGTAATAATAATAACATATAATTGAATAGAGTCTGAATTAGTGAACAATTTTGTTACCATTAGTCAACTAATGAGCTCTTTTCTAGTGTTTCTTGACGAAGAAAGCGAAGATAGTCCTATCCATCTTTCGTTGGGCATTTCTCCATCAACATTAGCCTATTTAAGCCAAATCGATCCATTCGCTTCCATATCGTTACCATCGAACGTTGAATCACAACAATATTCTTATCAAATGTTGACTAAATTTGAATCAAAATCATCACGTGTTAAAGGAATTGTATTCCATCCAAAACGGCCATGGGTATTGGCATCATTACATTCCGGTCTTATACAATTATGGGATTATCGTGTCGGTACATTGATCGATAAATTCGATGAACATGATGGACCAGTTCGTGGTATTGATTTCCATAATCAACAACCATTATTTGTATCCGGTGGTGATGATTACAAAATAAAGGTATTCACATTATTATTACAAAACGATCATTAGTTATTAATCTTGAATTTTTCTATATAGGTTTGGAATTATAAATCACGCCGGTGTATATTTACATTGTTGGGTCATTTGGATTATATTCGTGTTGTTAAATTTCATCATGAATATCCATGGATTTTAAGCTGTTCTGATGATCAAACTATTCGTATATGGAATTGGCAATCACGTACCGGTATCAGTATTTTGACTGGACATAATCATTATGTCATGTGTGCTCAATTTCATCCAACCGAAGATCTTGTTGTTTCCTGTTCGCTTGATCAAACTGTACGTGTTTGGGATATTTCTGGTTTGCGAAAGAAAAATGTTTCGCCCGGTCCTGGTGGTCTTGATGATCATCTAAAAAATCCACATTCAGCCGATTTATTTGGTTCATCCGATGTTTATGTTAAACATGTTCTGGAAGGCCATGATCGTGGTGTAAATTGGGCCGCTTTTCATCCAACCATGCCACTCATTGTTTCAGGTGCCGATGATCGTCTTGTTAAACTATGGCGTATGAATGAATCAAAAGCCTGGGAAGTAGATTCATGTCGTGGCCATTATAATAATGTTTCATGTGTCATATTTCATCCAAAACAAGATCTAATATTGAGCAATTCTGAAGATAAAAGCATTCGTGTTTGGGATCTAACTAAACGGACTTGTTTATCTTCTTTCCGTCGTGAACATGAACGATTCTGGATATTGACTGCACATCCAAATCAAAATCTATTTGCAGCTGGACATGATGGTGGAATCATTGTTTTCAAATTGGAAAGAGAACGTCCAGCATTTACTATTCATTCTAATTTTCTTTTCTATTTAAAAGATCATTTTCTACGACGATTAGATTTTACAACGGCTAAAGATATCCCAGTCATACAGCTACGAAATCGTGGCCGTATACCACCGCATTCAATTTATTATAATCCAGCTGCCAATGCAATGCTTATTACATGCCGATCACCAAATGCAGAGAATAGTATCTATGAGCTATATCCATTACCGAAAGAAATTGATGGCTCACAAAATACTGATCCACCGGAAACAAAACGTTCAGCAGGTTTGACGGCCATTTGGATTGCAAGAGATCGTTTTGCTGTACTGGATCGTAATCATCAGATTATAATAAAAAATCTTAAAAATGAAAACATTAAAACCTTGACAACAAGAGCATGCGATGAAATATTCTATGCCGGTACTGGAATGATATTGTTACGTGATACTGATGGTCTTGTACTATATGATATTCAACAAAATCGTGAATTGATCAATGTAACATGTCCAAAAGTTAAATTTGTCATCTGGAATAATGACATGTCCAATGTATGTTTATTGAGTAAACATCAATTAACAATTTGTAATCGAAGATTAGAAATTAGTGCAACAATAACGGAAACAAATAAGATTAAAAGTGGTGCCTGGGATGATCTTGGTGTTTTCATCTATACAACATCGAATCATATAAAATATGCATTATTGAATGGTGATCATGGTATTATTCGTACATTGGATTTGCCTGTTTATCTTACCAGAATTAAACAGCAACAAGTTTATTGTTTGGATCGTGAAATTAAATCAAAAATTTTGAATATTGATACAACAGAATTTAAATTTAAATTGGCATTAGTTAATCGTAAATATGATGAAGTGTTACACATGGTTCGTAATGCTGAATTGGTTGGCCAATCTATTATTGCCTATTTGCAGAAAAAAGGCTATCCTGAAGTTGCATTACATTTTGTTAAAGATGAAAAAACTAGATTCGCTTTAGCATTAGAATGTGGTAATATTGAAGTTGCATTAGAAGCGGCAAGATCATTGGATGATCAAACATGTTGGGAACGTTTGGCCGATGCAGCATTAATGCAAGGTAATCATCAAGTGGTGGAAATGGCTTATCAACGGACAAAAAATTATGATAAATTATCATTCCTTTATTTGGTGACGGGAAATTTGGAAAAACTACGAAAAATGATGAAGATTGCCGAAATTCGTAAAGATACATCAGCTCAATTCAAGAATGCATTGTTATTGGGTGATGTTGAAGAACGTTTAAAAATTCTTCGTAGTTCTGATCAATTGTCTTTGGCTTATCTTTGTGCCACTACACATGGTCTTGAATCCGAAGCCGAAGAAATGAAACAGATGCTTGATCCGGAGAAAAAATTACCTGTGCCTGATTCAAATGCTGTGTTATTGCAACCAACTTTACCGATTTTGCCTAATGAAGAAAATTGGCCATTATTAACCGTTACACGTGGTTTCTTCGAAGGTGCCATGGCTGCGACAAAAGGCAAAACTGGCCTAAAATCAGCTTCCGATATGTTAATTATTGATGAAAATGGTGGAACCGATGCTGGTGAAGGTGGTTGGGGTGATGAAGCCGATCTTGATCTGGACAATAATGGAAATAATGCAATCAATGATGATGACGATGATGATCTTATGCATGATGCAAAAGAAGATGGCGATACACCTGGTTGGGATGTTGATGATCTGGATATACAGGACTTACCACAACAGGAAGCAGGAATGGATGAGAATTATTTCGTGGCTCCAACACGTGGATATCCACCAACACATTATTGGATCAAAAATTCAAAACTTGTTGTGGATCATATTTTGGCTGGATCTTTTGAGACTGCTTTCAGACTTTTAAATGAACAGGTAAATGTGTTTCATGATTCCATTAAATTTTTTTTTCTAATTGAAATTTTATTATTTCTGAATAGGTTGCGGTTGTAAATTTCGAACCATTGAAAGCAATATTCATGATGACCTATGCTCGATCACGTGCTGCTTATCAAGGCATATCATATCTTCCAACAATGTTTGCCTATCCACAACGAAATCCACGTGATGATTTTACAAAAGGACTACCGGCAATCGAGATACAAATGTTGGATCATCTTATACAACGTTTGCAACAATGTTATCAATTGACTACAATGGGAAAATTTCAGGATGCCGTTGAACGTTTCCGTCAATTAATGTTAAGTGTTCTGATGCTTTCGGTGGATAGTAAACAGGAAATAATTGAAGCAAAAAAATTGCTCGAAATTTGTCGTGAATATATTGTTGGCCTTTCGATGGAAATTGAAAGAAAATCAATGCCAAAAGAATCGATTGAAAATCAGAAACGTTCATGTGAAATGGCTGCATATTTTACACATATTCATTTACAACCAGTACATCAGATATTAACATTACGTACAGCATTGAATTTATTTTTTAAATTGAAAAATTTCCAAACAGCATCATCGTTTGCACGACGACTATTAGAATTGGGACCAAAAGCCGATGTTGCTGCACAAACAAGAAAAGTTTTACAAGCATGTGAAAAATCAGCCAACGATGAACATAGGCTCAATTATTCGGAACATAATCCATTCAATATATGTGCCGCATCATATACACCAATTTATCGTGGACATGTGGAAACCAAATGTCCATTCTGTGAGGCAACATATTCACCTGAATATCAGAATACAATTTGTCGTGTTTGTCAGGTATCGGCAATCGGACGTGAAGCCATTGGGCTTCGTATTAGTTCATTACAATTTCGTTGATTTCAAAATGATGATGATGATTCAAATTTGTCAATTTTATTAAAGAAAAAAAAAGAAAATTTTTAACTTGATCATTTCTTTGCTCTTTTCTCTCGATACACCCACACCCACACACACACACAAGCACACGTTATTATTATTTGTCACCAATGATTTATAAATGGTCGCGTATTGTAATTTTTTTTCAAATTAATAATCCAATTGATTAATTGATTGATTGATTATCAAATATACACCCATATATGCTGTGTGCGTTTCAACTTTATATTATTCATTTTTTTTATATAAATAAATTATTTTTTAAACAAAGTAAAAAAAATAAAAAACATCATCAACATTAATTAACCAGAAAAAAATCTCACTATTGATCTTATGGTACTTTTTAAAAATCGTTGCACACGTCTCATGAATGATGATGGTGATTGACTGGAATTTGTACGGCCATTATGTTGTTGTTGTTGTTGTTGATCACGATTTAGATACGATATGGATTTATTATTGTTCATCAATGTATTTGCTGCATGTACAACAACATTACATGAACCTTGTGAACATTTTTTTCCATCACCACAGCGACTGCCTTCAAGTGCAGGATGTGCTGGTGATGCCCAATGTCCATATGAGCACCATAATTCTTTACAGATATCCTAAAAAATTTAAAAAATAAAAAAATTGAATTATTTGAAATCAATTGATATTAGAATTACAATAGATGATTACATTGAATGGAGATCTTTTCGAAATGTATGGTTGATATTGATCACCCAATGCTAATTGACATTGTTGTTGTAAATCATATTGTTCACCAGGCAAACGATAATCGTGATGATCATCCAATGGACTTGTATATGTAAAAATGGTGTCTGATCAGATGTTTTTTCCAAACATTTTAAATTGGATTTTCTTTCAAAACAAACAAACAAACAAACAGAAATGATTTTTTGTTGATTAGACAACAACATAGACATGACTTACTTTAGAAAATTTTCCAAATATAAATTACTACATGGTGACCAATGAATTTTACCTGGTCCAGTTTTTTCCGACATAATATATTTATCCGATTCACAATTATTATCATAACCATCGTGTAACATTCCTAGGCTAGAAGAGAAAAAATGAAAAATTTTGTCAACAAACAAAATAACAACAACAACAACAACAATCGACATGTATGTGTCAATAAAATGTCAACCTATGTGCCATCTCATGTGCAATAACAAATGCAGATTCAAAATTTTTTCCTTCATTCAATGTACAGCTATATGATGGTCGACACATTCCATTCACCCATGCAAGGCCTAAAACTTTTTTATTTTTTTCATCATCGGCCATCATTTTATAGAGATCCAATCTTTGTGGAAAAAAATGAGAAAAAATTTATCAAACAAACAAAAGAAAAAAAAATGTCAAACACACCCGGTCAACATGAGTGCATGATCCCAACGTTGATTAACGGCTGTTCGTTTCCACAGTCTTTTTTGCCATGCACAAAAATTATCTAAATATTGATCAATATCACCATCGGCTGTATTTGGTACACCAACATCATTCTGATTATTACGATCTAAATAAACAATTTTTTTGATAACAATACGAATTTTTGTTTTCATTGTATCGAAATTATAAATTAATTGCACTTCATTCATAATGGCAAGTATCAATTTTTCTAAATCTTGTCTTGCGCCATTAAAATTTTCAATCAATGATTGATCAACAAAAATTATTGTTTCAATATCGTAAATTTTATCCGGTAAATTTCCGCCAATTTGTTGTTGTTTTACTGTGTCTCGTTTTCTGATTATTAGTTTTCGATTCATGTTGGAATTTTCCATCGAAATACGATATAAATGATGTGAATCAAATTTTTGAATTTTCCATCCGAATTTTTGATGGTTTTGTGGTTGATTAGATGGACAACAAATTTCATTGGTGCTATTGAAATCATCAGTTATATTAATAGACCTCTTATTATCATCATCATCATCATCATTGATATTGACAAAAGTTTTCAAATTCGAAACAAATGATGATCTTATCACAATGGTTTCATTATTCAACATGATTGTTGCATACTAATTTGGTAATTTGGTTAATTTCAAACGTAAACGATGATGAGAATTAGATTTTACAATGGCATTAAAAAAAATACTCACCAAAATTGTTTGATTAGAATTATCTGGACAAATTGTAGCCGCTATAATGCCATTTGAATCCATCGGTACGATTAGTTTTCCTTGATAGAAATCACATTCAATGTTGGAATTTGAAGCATTTATTTTGTCCAATACGGCATAAAAAATTTGTTCTTTCGTATTGAATGTTAATAGATATTTAGTATTGGTTGTTTTGGTGGTGTTTGCGGTAATCGATTTATCGATCTCACCATCATTGGTTTTTATTTCGATTAAATTTGGTCTAATTATTTCGGCTTTATTGATTGAATATTTTGTTTCAATTCGATACTATTATATTGAAATAACAAGAAACGAAATTGAAATTTACAACGCTAGTTGATAATATATTGATTTTATTACTCACAATGGTCATCATAATGATAATGGTGATGATTGGAAAACAAATTGAATTGTAGGACATTGTTTTTTTTTTGTTTTCTCGGAACAATTTCGATCGGATATGGAACGATTTTTTTTTATATCACACAAGATTTTAGCGGGCAGAAAATTTATTCAATCATTCGATTCGTCAATGATGTGTTGTTGTTTTTTTTCGAATCAAGACAGCTGCACAAATACTTTCACTGATGAACCACTGGTGTTGAATTGAATTGAGAATAGAGATAACAAATTAAAATGAATTACTTGGTGATGAAATAATCCATCAATCGACCAATTTTTATATCTATTTATCATCATCATCATCATCATCATCATCATAGCCAAACAAACGAATAGTGTATCATTTTGGAATTCTGAAATTGAAATTTTTTTTTTCGCACATTTTTGAATCATTAAACTACTTGTATTTGTTCAGTGTGTTCATCAGTGTCTATAGATTGATCAAAAAAAAAAAAAAAAAAAAATAAAAATTTTGTTGTCAAATCAAATGAAAATGAAACACACACACACACACACACACACACACACACTTTTTCTCTATCATTCCACAAGTTTCTATTTTTTTTTCTCTCTGGTTTCATACGACATACATACATTACCTAACGATGGTTGGATCGTCGTGCAACCAGGCAACAATAAAATAAACCAAATTTTTGTTGTTGTTGTTGTTGTCGCTGCTGATAATATATTTTGGTTATAATAATTAAAAATGCAATAACATAAACAGGTGATAATGTTGTTGACCTTTCTCTCATTTTTTTTTATTTTCGAAGTTGACATCAGAATAATCATCAAATATATCCATCTTCATCATCATCATTACATTGTGTTATTATTTTCGATTGTTTGATTGAATTCGAAATTCTATAGTTTGTTGTTTCTCATTTTAGGAACATGGAATGAATAAATGAATGATGTTGTTGTTGTTGTTGTTGGAATGTTCGATGTGTTAAACATGATGGAATGAATGAATGAAACTGTCATCCAGATGTGTTTTAATATATAAAAAAAAATTCGGCCATGATCCGGTGTCATCCATAATCAACCGACCATAACGGATGCAAATTATATATTCAAAAATATAATTTTATAAATGCACACAATTTCATGTTATTTGAATTGAAAAATTATTTAGGCCACAATTTTTTTTTTTTTTTTTTTTGAATGTAATCAAAAATGATGATGAATTGAATTGAAAGTGAAATTGAACTTTCTAATGTGGCCATTTATTGTTTAAATGTTTTCACGAACGTCCTATATGAATGGTAGAAAATATTTATGTTGATTGGCTGGAATGTTTATTTTGAATTTAGAATTTTTTTTTGAATTTTTGTTTTTCTTTGAAAATCAATACAAAATGACCAAGAATTTTGAATTATGCAACACATCTACAATCGATCTGAATCCTTGTATTATTGATTATTCAAAAAAATTCCACGCTTTCATCGTTGGAACATATCAATTGATTGAAGTTGGATCGAAAACATATGATGAGGATTACACTGAAGATCAATTGGCATTTCTAAATAATCGAATTGGCAGTATAAATGTTTTGAATGTTGATTGCAAATTGATTTGCAAACATCAATGTCAATCGGGTGGTGTTTTTGATCTGAAAATCTCTAATTATCATCATGATACTAGTAGCAACAGCGAAATGATTTTTGCTGCACATTCGAATGGAATGTTTGGTATTTATAAATTTGAAAATGGTGTTCGCATTCATAATGTTCAACAAATCAAAACTGGCCAAACAATGTTGACCACCATTGGTGATTTATTCATTGGTAACATTCTAACAATTGCTATTGGCAGTTCAGATGGTCAACTATTATGTTATGAATTTACGATAAATGATTCAATTGAAAATCTAATGGAACAATCATCAGCGGATAATTTAATACAATCATCCATCGTTACAAACGATTCATTATCAATATGGTATTTGAAAATGGTACATCTGGAAATTATGGAATCAACAATTGAACAAAATTTAATTTTTGTTTGTTCCGAAGATTCTATGTGGCGAATATTTACCTACAGGTATGTTGTTTTTTTTTATTTCTTGATTCTATAATCATTCTCATTCTATATTTGTGTTATATAGCTCGAAAAATCTGACCAAATTATTCGAAAACTGTGATTCATCCTATGGTGTAACATCAATTGAAATATTTCGTATAGATCATGTTGATTTGAATACTGTTTCCATCATTTTACTTGTTGGTTCATATGATGAATATTTACGGATTTATAGCATTGAATTGAAATTCGATCATCATTCCAAGGAAACAATGAAAATTCTTCAATGTTTACAACAAAAAAAGATTCATATAAATGGTGGTGGAATATGGCGAATTCTTGTGAATAATGACAACGATGATGATGATAATAATAATACCATTCTATTATCGGCAATGTATTCCGGTGCTTATTGGCTTACATTAGAAATCCCGACGGAATACCAGAACGGTTTCAAACAAAATCACCATTTAAATATAGATTATAAATTGAATAAATTTCCAATCGAAAATGATGATTCAAATGAAAATCATCTTGTTTATGGAATCGGTTCCGATTCCATTCTATCAACGATACTGTTTGCATCATTTTATGAGAAAAAAATTTTTCTTTATAAATCCTGTGATTGAATAAATAAAAATAAAGAATAAAATAGACGTTTGATGTTTAAATTTTTTTTTTCAATGAACTCATTCATGAATTCTGTTACCAAAAAAAAATCCAAATTCTTTCCACATCCTCATCATATGTTTGTAAAAAAATACTTGAAAATTGAATTTTTTAAAATCGTTGCCAAATCATTATTCCATCACTTTGATTTGTTGTCTTTTTTTCTCTCTATCCCCATTTTTCCACCACCCACTCATTGAATTGGAAAAAAAATGTGATAAAAATTAATGAAGTAGCCTATTATCGAAAGTGACAATCATCACAATTGCGATACATCTGAATGATGAATCTGACACAATCAATGTTGATGGATTTTTTTCCCCTTCTTTTTCTTTTTGGTGATCGATAATGACAACACACACACACACAATCCACTTTAATTTCATCATCACCATCACTTAATCCTGGTTTTGTGTATGGTGAACAAAGAAAAAAAATCAATCAATCGTTGCTGCTGCTGTCGTCATTCTCTTAAATTAATGTCTGTCTACTATTTATTTTTCATCATCATCATCAAGACTGTAAATCTGAATCAACGAAATAGATAAAAGTTTTTTTCATTCTGCTTGAACATTGGAACATTCATTCTTTTGAATCAATGTAAGTTGTTTTGTTTCTGTTTCTGTTTCACATTGTTATTCAAAAGTATCGAAAACTTTTCTATATTGATGATCGATTGTTTTGTTTTGTTTTGTTTTATTTTCATTATGAATTTTATGAAAATGAATCACATTTATTTTATATATTTGATAATTTCGAATCACAATTTTTGAATATTTGTTTATATATCACATTTATAAGTCATTTATATTCAAAAAATTCCAACTTTTTTTGTGTGTGTGTGTCAGATTTCAAGATTTCAAAGGCAAACATTAGGCCTTAATCGTTTGAATTGATCATCAGTCAATGGTATCCATCTGTAGCCTAACATTCGTGAAATTTCTGAAAATGTTTGCTCATATGAACGTGATGTTTGCCGTAACCATTGTACAAAATGTTCACGCCATGATGGATTGATTAAACAATCAAAACGTTTACGTATAGCATTACGACGTATATAAAGTGTTGTTAAATTTCTTGCATATGTAACAATCAATAATAATGTGGCCGTCGATATTAAATCATTGATGATTATTGTTCGTAATCTTGAACAATTTTCACTGATATAAATCTATATATGATGAACCATCAGAAACGATTTAAAAAAATTTTTTTTCAAACATACCAGAAATGTATCCACACGATCCATATATGATCGATGTATAGTATATTTTGGTATATGATAAAATGCCAAACATTCCAAACTTTGGCCATACAATTGTCCAATTTCAATGAGCCTAGTACAGCTTGGCCTTATGATTGGTGCATCATATATGATGGATGTAATACGTGTTGGTTGTAATGATAATTCCTATATATGTGAAGATGAAAGTTATCTTTAATTTTCAATTACAAATATTGCGTATATACACCACCCCCCCATACATATGTCAATGGATTCTGACAACAACGACTTGTCGTTCGATTCACCATAACCAAATGTATTTGTATGTGGTGATTAATTTTTGAAAATTTTTTCCACAAACCAAATGATAATGGTCCTTGTGATCGTGTTAATTCAGTTTGTACAATATATAAATGATTCAATGATCGATTCAATGCCAATAGAATTAATACATCTTCATCAAGATGCTTGTTACATACGTAAAACGGATGAAAAGAAATGAAAAAATCAAAATTAAATTAAATTATGGAAAAATGAAGAAAGAAAAAATCAATTGATCAATATGTTCATCTGTTTTGTGTATTGCAAAAATTTATCGCTAAGCTTATTGGCAAAACAAACAAATATTTTCTGTTTAATAATTCAATAAATCAATCAATCAATTCAAGTGGAAAAATGTGTTTGTTTGTGTTTGTTTTTATGCTATCGATCGATATGAAATCTGTTATACATACTTGACATGAAATAACCAACGTATCAAGATTTAGAAATATTCCAACATGTAAAAATGCATACGAATTTTTACAACAATTAATCAATGTTAATGTACGCAATTGTTCATGACAATTTATGGCCACATTGTCCAATAGATAACGTGCTTCATCTGGACACAATAATAGATCACGTAATGCTAAATATTTTAATCCTGGTATATAATATCCGGAAACAAAACAAAAAAAAATCATTAAAATTCAAATGACCAAAACAACAACAACAACAACAATCAACATACCAACAAGATGGTACATTAATTCTTTCAATGCTTCCAATAATTTACCACCAGTACCAATCACTTCTGTATCATCATTTCGTATATCACCTGTTGATAAACGATGATGACGACGATGATGATGTTGTTGTTGTAGTTGATCATTATTATTATTATTATCACCATTAATTGATTGATGAATTGGCCTACAACCGAATGTAAAATCAAAACAATTTAAATTCCTTAAACGATTCGGTTGATAGTGTTCAGCAAATTGTGATAAAATTTTCATAAATTCATATAGATTAAAAAAATTATTCATCGGTTTTATTATCAAACGACGAATATTTGTACCGAATTTCCAAAGAAATGCCTTTGAAATGAAAAAAAAATCGATTAAAAAATTAAAAATCAAAGTAGTGGTTAGAATTTTTCAATTATTACTTGTGTTTTAAATGAATCGATCATTCGTTGATATCCTAGATAATAATTAAATTTACGTTTAGTAAATGATTTATCCGTCACAATCAATGTTGTCCATATTGTTGGTGAATAAAAACATTCAAACCAATGTGGACATACTTGTGATGCTAAATGTCTTTCTTTGATCGATAATAATTGAAAAATTTCTTCTAAAATATCGATCGGCATATAATTCCAATATATTCGCCGTTGTAGCTGTTGATATCGATTCATCATTCGTTTTCTTTGCTGTCTTTCAAGATGTTTTAATCTTTTCTTTTCCTCTTTTTTTGACAAAAATTTTGTTACTGCTTTTGTTGATGTCGAATAATTGTCATTGATATTTTCAAATCGATCATCAACAATAACAAATTGTTGTTGTTGGTTATTTTCATTATTAATATCAACAGGAAAATATAATTGAATTTCTTGTTGTTGCTGTTTATTTTGTCCAACAATATCGATGTCATTCAAATCATCATTTTTGATTTTGGCTATAGAAACGGTTTCATTCTCTTTTCGATCATCATTACTAAGACAACTATCACCAATATTTTCATTATTATTCGATATAAACGATGATGGTGATGATGATGATGATTGAATTTTGTTATTATTTTCATCATCAGCGATACAAATATTGATTTGTATTTGATTGGATGACGACAGCATGAATCCTTGTTCTTGTTGTTGTTGTCGATGATTTGCTATATTCAAATCCATCATCACATTTATGATAGATTCATTATTTGCTACATTTGATGTTTGTTTGTTAAAGCCATTGAAATTCAATTGGAGATAGAGAATGAGAAAGAGAAAATGAAAAAAAAAAATTAGAAATGAAAATGCCATATTTTGTCGTTGTCATTGTTATTGCTATTGTTGTCATCATCATCATCATCATTCATCAATTTATAATTTATGTTTGTGTGTGTGTGTGTGTGTGTGTGTTCAAACTTTAATCAATAAACATTCACATTCATTGAACATAGTAGTAGGAAAATCACATTTTTTTTTCTCCCAAACAAACCTGAATTAGTTGTGTTGACATTTGTTGTTGTTGGAATACTGGATATTGTATCATTATCATTTAATTGACGACCATTGATTTCATCTTGACAACGGCAACAATTTTGATGATGATCATCATCATCAGAATTATTTTGAGAATTTTGTTCAGACATTATTATTGCCGTCAATTCAATCGATTTTAATCGGACAATCGTCGTTTTTTTTTCATTTGATCATTTCATATCAATCGAATATACATCACACAGACGATGCACAATGAAATTTTTTTTTTTTTTTTTTTTTTGAAAAAAAATCACTGCTGTATTGATTTGAACAAACACACAAAAACACAGTCGCTACACAACTAGCTAGATTGTTTACATTTCATTATGTTTTCTGGATTTGTGTAGGTGGATGTTTTGAATTTAGAAAACCAACAAAGAAAAAAAAAAAAAACAAAATCATATTTTCATCTTTGGAAAACAAAATTCATTATCATCATCATCATCATCATATATAGAAATTGCCAACCAAATCAACTGAAACACATGTATTGAATTATAAATTCAACGTGGTGGCTACATCAGTGTCTTTTTAATGATTTTTTTTTCTGTTTGTTTGTTTGTTTGTTTAAATATTAATCATCAATTTGGAAATGGTAAACAAAAATTCACATTCAATATTCACTCATTGTTTGTCTCTTTCTCTCTCTCTCTCTTTTTTGTTGTTTGTGTGACTTTGATTCTTTATTTTTTTTTTTTTCTCAATTTCCATAACAAACTTTTTTGTTGTTGTTGTTGTTGTTCATACCGTTCATTTTTAAAAATATCATCATCAACAACGACAACAACTGCAGTTGAATGCCAAGTTTGTGTGCATAAAAATGTGGTTGATGAAAAATTATTCTTGAAGAATTTTCATTTCATTTCAATATTCATTATGTGTGTGTGTGTGTTTGTGTGTTTGTTTGTTTGTTTGTTCAAAGTATAAGAAACCTTTTCATTTACGACAATATATTTGTTGTAGTAGCAGCAGAGCATCAGTGGAATTTGAAAAAAAAGTGTTTCTTGTTTAATAATAATAATAATATATTATTACATCATCATATAATAAAATTCTGTTTTCGTATAGATGAAATTCTCTTTCTTTTTTTTGTTTTGTTTTGTTTTGTTTATTCTTATTCTTAAAAACATGTTTTTTTTTCGTTCCACAACATTTTATTGCCTTTTTTTTTTTTTAGCTTAGAAAATATTCTGCTGCCATTATTAATTCTGTGTGCATTTTCTTCGTTATCATCATCATCATCTTGAAATCTTATTTTTTTTTTGCTCTCCATTCTATCATATTCTTCTTGTTCATTTTTTATTATTATTATTATTCGTCTTTACTATATTCATTCGTAGTGTGTAAAATATTCATAATCAAAACAAACAAATCATATTGTGTCAACAACAAGATCATTTTCATTCTTATTTTTTTTAACTTGTTTCTCAATAGAATACATAATTATGGCGATGATGATAATAATGATGTGTGTGGTTATGTAATAATGGCATATTCTGTTGTCGTTTTTTTTGGTTATTTTCATTTATTGAATCGTTTTTTTTTTGTTTGTAATTTGAGATTTACGTTTTTTTTTCTGTTTTCAGAGATCCAAACAAACAATGAATGAATGAATGAATGATTCTTGAATGAGATTCTTAAAGGAAAATGAGTGGAAAAAAATTATTCATCAGAATCTGAAAGAATCACACATACACTTGAAGAGATATATAACAAGCACCAGATCATTTTAAATGATTTAAAATTACTACTGATGATACTGATAATAAGCTGAAAACAAGACATGTGAACATGCGTTCGATTCATTCCATTATGGTTCCAAATTCTTTTCTTTTTTTTCTTGTTATCAAATGAATTGAAAAAATGTATATATATAGAGTGATTATATATTCTATATGGCAGCAATATTCTCGTAGACGACAAAATATCATGTATATGTTTGTGTGTAAGCAAAATGCTGCTGCTGGAATTTTTTTTTTTTTTTGAAATAAAATACAACCACTACAAAATGTACAATTGTACAAGTGTATTGAAACTTTTTTTGTTGTTGTATATATGATGCTCATGCCCAATCCAATATCTAAAATCTATACACATACCGATACATCTCAAATAAAAAAAAGTCATATTCTCCATCTCTCTCTTTCGGAACCTACTGGTACTACTGTTTCTAAATCTTTATTTTTTTTTCCTGTATGAATGGCTGATATTTGGATATTTTTTTTTTTTCTTCATACATCTTAGTGTTTGTTAGCTTCTTCTTACTTTCAAAATTTTTTTTTTTTTGTTTTGGTTTTGTTGTTGTCCATGGCCTTTTCATTTATGGGTTAGTCTACATTTTTGTCACGCTCATCATGTGTGTGTGTGTATCCTATAATCAAACAGATAGATAAATGGATAGATAGATAGACATTTGAGTCTTTATTTATTTTTTTATTTTATTTCCTGAATGTTTTGATCTTAGTCTGTTTGATCTGTTGGATTCATTTGTATTTGTTTGTGCTTGTGCGTATATATTTGTGTTGCTTCTGCTTCAATGCTATTTCAACATTTGTGTACATTTGTTTCTGTGTGTGTGTGTGTTTGAATTTCAAAAAAGGGTCTCCAACGCACACACACACACATAAAAAATTTGTTTTTTTTCTGTCAAACTAATTCCATTCTAATTCAATTCAATGGATCGAGAACACATCCTATATATCCTATTCAATTGTCGGTTGTAATCCTATCGCTTTTCATATGATTTTTATTCAATTCCAAAATTGATTTTCAATTTGGTTACAAAATAAATCAATTTTAATTTTAATTTCTGAAATTAAATTTCATCAAAATTTCATTTCATTTCATTTCATTGAAAACGGAAACGAAAACGAAAACGAAAAAATTTAAATTATTTTTGCTTGTTTTTTTTCTTACCACCCACACACGCTGTAATCGTTGTTTTTTTATTTTATTTCGATTTCCCGAAAAAAACACACACAATTCATGCTTTATCACCATCATCATCATCATCATCATTATGGATTTCATCTGAATTGTCGTCGTTAGGTAACAATAATAATAATAATAATAAAAAAAAACAGACAGAATATTTCCATCAAAAAAAAAAAAAAAAAATAGAAATAATCATCATTCATCACGCAAATAATGTTGTTGTTGTTTTTTTGTCCTATGCCTGTGATTTGAAAGTGAAGTGAATAGAAGAAAAAGATTCGTATCCAATCAACATGTTTTTTGTTCATCATCACGTTGAATTAATCTTCTTTTCAATTGTCATCATTTTTTTCTGTTTGTTTTTTTTTTGATTCATTCATTCATTCATCATCACACACACACTTGTGTACGTGTGTTTGTAGGTAGCAATAACATAGTAGTGTCGCCTACACATTGATTCCACAAGAAAACAGAATAAAAAAAACAGAATCATAAAATATTTATGATTCTGTTTTTTTTTTGTTTTGATCCAGAATCCAATCCAATTCTTAATGTATTGATCTTTGAATCTCGTGTTTTTCTTTATTTCCAGAAATAAAATTATTGATTGCCATAAATAATATTTTCATGCATAGAATATATTTATATACAAAATAATATTCTACTTCTCTCTACTTCTCTCTCTATCTCTCCAGAATTTTCTAGTCACCGTTATGGATTCTTCAATCTATTGAATTCTCTGTGTCTCTGTGTCTGTGTGTGTGTGTGTTTGTAATAATTTTTTTATGATGAAAATTTATTTTTTTTTTAAAAACCCCGTCATAAACAGATGAATATAATAACCACATAATTTTATTCACGCATAAAAAATAAAATAAAAATAAAAATGAAAATGTCATCAAAAATCAATGATGAAGATGATGATGAAAATATGAATAATGATGATCTGTCAACGACGAATCATCATTCTATTATATTATCAGCAAACGATGAACAACAGCAACAAGAACCAAATTCAAATTGTAAAATAATGATGAATAATAAATCAATCATTTCTATTAATCATCACAATTCACCATCAAAATCATTATTATCATCATCATCATCATTGAATAAATCATCATCAACCACTTCTTCTTCTTCCGCCTCATCGTCATCAACGTCATCATCAAATCCAGATCAAATTTTAAATAAAGAAATTTTCAATTTTTCCAATGAATTAAATGATTATGAACTTCATTCATCTAACAACAGCAATGATAATGTGAAAACAACACCACAGAAAACTGTCTGTTTTCATTCGGTTACAGGTCAGCCTGGATCTGATAAAAAAATTACAAATGGTAAGTTTTTTCATGAATTTTCAACATTCATTGGTAGACAATTCTTTCTTTCCTTTTTAAAAAAAAAATAATGAAGAGAATTGAACATTTGAACATTTCATTCAAATTCAATCAATTTGGTTTGAATATATTTTTTTCCAAAAAATGATGATGTGAAATCTCTCTGTCTATGTTTGTGAATAATTCATGTTTGGTAGACAATTCATGAATTCATTCGTTCATTCCGTTGGAATAAATTGTATTCACCATGCATAAAAGAATTGGATGCCAATTTATTTATTTTTTTATTCACATTTCAAAATTGAAATCATTATTATTAGAACCAGATTCTATCATCATTCATTTTTAACATTTTATCATCAATTATTGTTCATAGATATAGAGATATTTTTCATCATTAGAATTGTATGTATATGTCAAAACAAAAATAATTTTATTTTATTCACTTCTTTATATCAATTTACAATTGGTACACAAAAAACACTGATCAATCGTCTTCACTCAAAAAACCGTTGTGTTTTTTGTTTCGGCTCACGACCCCTTCATAACTGTCGTGACATCTCCCCGCCCCTATTTTGAACTTTCCCGGGTGATGGTACAATCGTAGTTTATTGACGTTAATTACTTCTGTTTCCCGTTTGGTAGGCTGGTTTGGTCGATTTATTTCTACATTTGATTCAGATACGATTTTCAATATTTTATATGGGCCCTCCATAACAGGAGTCAACTTGCCATTGTTTGATGCCATTCACATTTCAAAATTGAAATCATTATTATTAGAACCAGATTCTATCATCATTCATCATTTTTAACATTTTATCATCAATTATTGTTCATAGATATAGATATATTTTCCATCATTAGAATTGTATGTATATACTATTAATTGATAAGAAATCTCCAGAATTTTTGGAATTTATATGGCTTATATTTCATTTTCATTTCCATTATTTATACATGAACAAAATGGATAATAATGATGATGATGATGATAATGATAATGATAATGTTCAACAGAATTCGGATTAATATTAATGGATACGATTATTTTAGTAGATTGAGATCACATCATCATGTTCATCTGTGATTGTAATTGGATTTTTGTTTTGTTTCTTTTTCTTCGAAATCTGAAACCATTTTGTTTTTTTTTTCTTCGATAATGCATTCCTTGGAATCAAATCATTTTTTTTCTTTGTCATTCTATTTTTATCCATTTTTTTATCTTGTTTTTTCCATTTTCATTCATTCATTCATTCATTCATTTTTGCACTAATTAGCCATCGACTGTTTACAAAACATGATTAATGGCACAACATTGATCAAAGTGAAAGCCAGTATGCGACAATATAGACGTTTTTATTCATTGGAAGAAGATTTGACCATTATTCGTTGGTCACCATCTACGAAAAAAACATCAAAAGCTAAATGTAAGTTGTAGTAGTAAAGAAGAAATTTTTTCAAAAAAAAAAAAATGTCATGATCAACCTGTTTGTATTTTTATATTTTGTATTGTATTACAGTACCAATCAAAAGTATACGTGAAGTTCGTCGTGGAAAAAATACCGATGTTTTAAAGAATCCAGAAATCACTGGAATATATAAAGAAGAATGTTCATTTTCAATCATATATGGTGATGATTTTGAATCAATCGATCTGATTGCATTATCATCGGTAGAGGCAAATATATGGGTGACTGGATTGAATTTTCTAATCGGACTTATACGATGTAAGTATCTAATATTTTTTTTTCATTGAATTACAAAAACTTTTTTTTTTTTCCAATCAATTTATTGTGCATGTGTGTGTGTGTACACTACTTTTTTTACAATTAAATTTCACTCACTGAAGCCTTTGTTTATCATTCACAATTTTCGTTTGTTTGTTTTGTTTTGTTTTTAATCATCAGTATTTGTGTTCAATTGCACAAAACACACACACACATATTTACCGTTCCAAATGAAATTACGTTAACAACAACAATCCTTGGTCTTTGTGATTGCAAAACTTTTTTTCATTATTTCACAAAAAAAAATTTCTTCGAATTTCATTTCATTTTCACTAAACAAAACTAATTCCTCAACATGGATGAAACTTTTCAATTAAATTCATTTGAATAAAAAATGAACATGTTTTTCTCTCTCTCTCTTGCTGTTTTTGGATAATTTATCATCTTTGTGACATTGACATGTTGCGTTGCTGTTCATTAACTATTGTCTCATGGTTATTGATTTTATTAATTTGCTTCAAATTTTTTTTTTTTTTTGTTTCTCTCTCATTCCATTGTATCCAAATATAGCTCCAGATTCATTAGAAGGACGAGAAAAAATGCGCGAAAAATGGCTATTAGATGTATTCGATGAAGCCGATTCTGATCATAAAGGAATGCTTGATGAATTGGAAACAATTGCATTGTTAAAAAAATTAAATGAACGTCTTTGTATTGATAGTTTGAAACAGAAAATTATGGAATTTGAAATGAGCAAAAAAAATGGTGAACAACGTGGCTGTATATCGAAACATGCATTCATTAGTCTATTTACACAAACGGCTACTAGGCCTGATATTTATTTCATTCTAGTACGGTAAGATTCCATTTTCCCTTTTTTTCATGGTCCTTCCAGGCCATACACACACACACTTTACTTTGATTTGAGAAGCTCAATTTTTCCTAGGAAAAAAAGCAATCTTTTTTTCTGGTCAAAACCAAAAAAAAAGTATCATATCACCAAAATGTACATTTGTCATTTTTTCTCTTTTCCTCGTTGAATGGTTTTGTGTTTTCTGTTTTTTTTTTTTTTTTCATAATAATAAATCATCAAAGTTTTGCTTTTTTTTTTTTTTTTTTGGTCATATTAATTTTCAATTTTTTTCCCTGTCCTCATGTGAAACATTAATAATTTTTTTTCGTCTTTCATTTTATTTCTACCACTATATATATATATATAGTTATTGTGGCAGAGATTATATGACAATGGAAGAATTGCAACTATTTTTAGAAGGCGAACAAGCCATCCAAGGAACATCATTGGAATTGTGTAAAAATCTAATCAAACGTTTTGAACCATCTGATCAGGCTAGAAATAAACAACAATTATTGATTGATGGTTTCACACAATTTTTAATGTCCGATGCATGCGATATCCTAGGGCTAGCACCGAAACAAATTTCACATAACATGAATCGTCCGTTTGTCGATTATTTTATCTCATCATCATATAATACGTATGTTTTTGTTGTGTGTGTTTTTGTTGTTTTGATTTTGATTTTCAAAAACAAAATTGCCACGAGCGAATATTGACAATTTTGTTTATCTCCTTATCTATTATAGATATCTTATTGAAGATCAAGTTAAAGGACCATCTAGCTGTGAAGGATACGCAAAAGCATTATTATCAGGTGAAAAATTTATTGATGATGATTCGTTTATTTTTTTTTTGTCAATTTTCATTGAATACTGAATGAATGAATGAATGAATTTTTTTTTTGTTTGTTTGTTTCAGGATGTCGTTGCATAAAGATTGATGTACATGATGGTCCAGATTATTGTCCACTAGTATTCCATAGAAATACTTTAACAAGCAAAATTCCATTAATGGATGTGCTGACCACTATAAAAGAAATGGCTTTTATAAGCTCACCGTATGTGTATTCTTTGTTTGTTTTCCATTTTGTCGTTTTATTTACTTATTCATTTATTTCTATTTTTTTTTTTTTTGTTTGTTCGCAAAATTCCATCCATTCAATGACCACAATGTTGTTGTCGTCATCAATTTTTTATACATAGTTATCCAGTGATTATTCATCTAGAAAATCATTGTTCATTAAATGTACAGAAAGAAGTGGCCAGATTATTTAGAAAAATTCTTGCCGATCATTTATTCTTATTATCAACATCATCATTGGATATTATGAATAATGGTGGTGAATCATCATCATCATCATCATTATCAATGAAATTTAAAATGGAAACCATGTCACTATCATCAAATTCATCATCAGATGATTATATGGCTATTGATATGCAACATAATAATGCTTCATCATCAGAAAAATATCTAAATACTATCTGTGATCAATTTGCGTTGAATTCATCCACAATGGCGACAAATATTTGGTCCAAATTGACGCCAGAAAAATTGATGTATAAAATAATTATCTCGGTATTTTCATTTTTAGCTTAATTTGATCAGTTTCATTCAACTCGATTTTTTTTTGTTCTTGAAAAGGGTAAAAAAATTGGCAATAAAAATCGAATAATCGATGAAGTTAGTGATGAAGAAGAAGAAAATCATGATTTTCGTAATGATGATGCTCATAAACCACGTATTGCCATCTGTCAAGAGCTTTCGGAAATAATTTCAATGAATCGTGTTAAACCCAAAGATAATAATAATTGTGATGATAATAATTGGTCCAATTTTGATAATTCAAATTGTAAGTGACAGATAATCAATAATTTCTCTTAATCATCTGATCCATTTTTCTTCAAAATTTTTCAGTAATCCATCTAAATGAATCATTAGCTGTTAAAATTGCACAGCAAAATATCGAAGAATTAACACAACGTAATAAATATTTCATGACAATGGTCACACCAGATATAAGTCGTATTGATTCAAGTAATCTGAATCCATTAGATTTCTGGAATTGTGGTGTACAACTTATTTCAATGAATTATCAGGTATGTTGTTGTTGTTGTGCATGTGCATAGATGTGATAATCGTTTGTTTTTTGGAAAATTTATTATTAACCAGACCAATGGTCAAATTATGAATATATATCGTGGTTGGTTCAGTCAAAATGGTTGCTGTGGCTATGTATTGAAACCAACATATTTACGTGGAAAATATTCAACATTTAATTTACGACGTAAAGATGCCATAATATCAGGTATTTCCTCGGATGATTTCGACATATATTTTGACCATTTTTTCTCATTTTTTTTCAGGTGTAGATCCATTAAATATTCGAATCAAAATTATCAGTGGTCAACAATTACCAAGACCTAAAGGAGCATCGATGAAAGCCAATTCAATTGATCCATATATTATTGTACAATGTCTTGGCACATCTATTGATTGTGCTGAATATCGTACATCCACCGTATCGAATGATGGTCATAATCCGATTTTTGATGAAAGTTTTGAATTCAATGTCTGTCTACCAGAATTGACGATGATTCGTTTCTAGTATTGGATGATGATTATATTAATGATGATTTTATTGGACAATTAGCCGTACCAATATCATGTTTGGAATCTGGCTATAAACATATTAAACTATTGAATATGAATGATGAAATAATACCAAATGCAAGTTTATTCGTTAAAATAGCTTTAACACAGAGGTTTGAAATTTATTTGAATTCTTTCTTTCATTCATTTTAATCGTTGAATTATTTCTACTTTGATATGGATCAAGATATGGATCAAAACAAAAATTACGAAGAAAAAAAAGTTGGTCACAAAAACATAATCATGATGCCAAACAAATGGGCGTGAAACATTTGGATGAACAACTTAAACAGGTGTTTGCCATGATGAATGAATCATCATTATTGAGGAAAAATGTCGAAAAAAATTATATTGAATTATGTGATGAATGTTCATTGCCAGAAAGTGCAAATATGGCACAATGTTTACGAATAATAACATTAAGATTGGCCACTTGTCCAACGGTGATTGGTTTCAAAATCGTTACATCTGAATTAGGTGTAAGTGTGAACTAATTCATTAATTTCTGACCTAAATAAAACATGATATCCATCCAGTATCCATGTGTACAGGTTTGCGGTGAATTGACTACACGTTTAAATCGTACAATAACAACATTGGATCGTTGTCTATTGGAATTATTCAAAACCATTGATCAATCTAAAAATTACATTGCATCTGTAAGTTTAACAGCTAATTTATTGATTATAAATCCATTGATTATATTGATTTTTCTTTTCAGTTATCTGAATTATTTGAAAAATTATCCAATGTCAACTATCAATATGAAGGTGTTGTGGATAAATCAAATGATTCAAATCAAATGCTTCAATATTTTTTGAATTCACCATCATCATCATCATCATCTAAAAAACAATCAACAAATGAACAACAACAACAACGAAATGAAATGACATTCCATCATGTTAATGAACCAGCATCATCGATGACAAGTATAAATAGTTCACCAAATTTATTGCTAAAACATTCGAAACAAAAGAAGAATGAAAAAATTTTCGAAAATCTTTTATGGAATTTATCCGTAATTAAAACTGAATTGGATAATCTAAATCATTTGAAAAATGAATGCGAAAGTTATTTTAAACAGGTTTGTGTCGAAGACACTTGCATATGGAAATTGAATTTGAATTTTTTTTTTTGTTGCTAAATTTTGATCCAGATCCAAAGAATTGCCGAATCGTTGGAAAGAATTTTTGAACGTGAACATAAAATAATTTTACGTTCAAATTCCTATGTTGTACGTGAGATTAGTAATGCAAATAATTTCATTACAAATCAATCATCATCATCATCATCAGCATCCATTATTCATGAAGTTGAATCCAAACAATCATTAATATCGATGAACAACAACAATGATGGACAATTACGAGGTATATTGAAGAAAACAGCATCACCAATTGTGACGAAAAAAATTTATGGTAACAATAACAACAATAATCCTGTTGACCATCAAAAAATATTTTGATAATTTCATTCAATTCAAGATCTCATCATCAATTTGAATTTTTTTTTGTGATTTTGTTACTTTGTGATATAATAATAATTTCATTGATGATTTTGTTTTCAATACATTTTTTTTTGTTCCAGAAGATTTATAAAAAATAAATTGTCCAGTTTTTTGTCACATTTAAAAAAAACAAAAAACAAAAAATTATCATTTTCATTCTATAAATTTTGTACCCTCATATATGAATAGTTCTCCAACAAATTACACACACACTAAAAGGCACGTTTTTCTATGAATAAAGTTCAGTTTTCTTCAGTTTTTTCGTGGTCTAATCATCGGATTTCCTCTTTTTTTTGAATTTCGTGTGGCAAGTTTCAGCGAACAATAGATGGCGCCGCATTATTCTAATGAATTTTGAAATTTTCGAAAAAAATGCAATTCATCATCATCAATTTATTTCAGGTTATATATTCATCATCATTCATTATATATTTGAAAAGATTTACAATTTGATTTTTCTCAGACAACAACAACAACAAGAAAAAAATTACTGCTAAACTGTATGAAAAAAATTGAATTCTATATATTCATCCACGCTTATTACGTGCGTAAATGTGTGATTCAGATTCTTATAATTCTTCATTTTCAGCCGGATCAGTTCGATCTTTATTGGTTTGTCGTTTACGTTTAGCTTTTTGTACATCATTTAGTTCCTCATCACCATCATCATTAACGTTATCGGCATTTTCCGAATAATTTCGCATCGCTGTTGATTTCAATTGCTGCTGCAATTCACCATTGTTAGCTGCATCAATGACTCTTGGTACAGCACCCATTGCTGTCATTGCTTTTTCAACGTCATCGACAATTTTTCTATTACCACTATTGCCGCCACCACTGGCTGAAAGATTATCAGATAAATTTGTTGAACGTTTTTGTTGATCATTTTTATTACCATTCGATTGTTGTTGTGGTTGTGGATTATTATTATCTGGATTATTATTACCGAAATGATTTTTCAATTTATAATGATAAATAGCCCAACAAGCTATTACCAACACTATAAGTAATGCCAATACAGCGATTCCATAAAAAGCCAAAGCCATCGATTGTTGTTGACCATCATCATCATGATGATGATCATAACCGAGCATTGTACCAATTCCTGAAGTTAAATTTTTCATGCCATCTGGTAGATCATTTTTGAAAAAATCTACAGTTTTATTCTGTAAATTTTGTTCAGCATCAATTACATTGTTAGCAATTTCAGTTAAATTATCTTTGAGATTTTTAAAAATTTCACCATCAATAGGAAATAATGATGATGATGGTGTTGTTGTTGATGAATTATTCAATTCCGTTTGATCATTATTAGTGGCCACCACGATTGTTGTTCCATTGATGATATCAAGATTTTCCAAAATGGCTGTCATTGTCGATGTGTTATCTATAGTTGCTGTCGTTGAGATTGTTGCTGCTGCTGCTGCTGTTGTTGTTGTTGTCGTTGTCGTTGTTTCAATCAAATTCGATATTGTCGATACATTTTTGGCCATCATCGAATCATCAATATTGAAAGTTGTTGTTGTTGTCTCTAAATTATTATTGGTGTCGGTGATCGATGTCGATAAAATCAAATCTAACAATGATGAAGTGGTGGTTGTGGTGATGGAATCCATTTTTGTAGTCGTAGCTGCTGCTGCTGCTGCCGTTTCAATCATTGATGGTTTAGCCGTTGCTAATAAACCATCAAGATTATTATAATCCAAACTTAACGGTGTTGTTGTTGTAGTATGGATCATCATATCGATAATATTTATATTATCAGTTGTTGTTATATATGGCATAATAATTATCGCGCAATGGAAAAGGTGTGTATTATTTAATCTGGAAAAAAATTTGTTGTCTTTTTCTTTATCACAATGGATAAAAATAATGATTGATCCAAATAGGATAAAAATAAGGAAAAGCGTTTTTGTTGTTGTTGTTGTTCAAAACAAAAAATCAACAATTTTTTTGTCATAAATAAATATTAACACGAGAAAAATTTTTTCTTCTTCTTTTTTATTCATCACATCACATAATACACCTTGGTGATTATCGCACATTTATAAATGTTGTGTGTGTGTTCATTCCTCCAGCTCAAATCATGAATCATGTGTGTATTAACAGACATGAAAACAAAAATTAGATGATGATAAAGTTGATACACACAATAATAATAATAATCCATCCATTCAATTTAATACCAGAAAAAAATGTGCATCTGGTAAACGATAAACCAAAAAAAAAAAAAAAAAAGAAACTTTGTCTTTGAACATCAAGTCTATATTTATATACACATATCATATATTAATATAATAAATCGATACGTATTTGACTTGATGTCGGTGTTTGGTTTGGTTTTCCACAATTGTTCATCATCATCATCATCATCAAAATAGACAAAAAAAAACACGATTAGATGAGAAAGGGGAAAAAATTATTTTTTTATATGTTGTAGACAATGTTTGTTTGTCATATTGAATGATGTCTACATATATATTTGTTGTTGTTTGATCAATGTGAGATTATTAAGATTCGGATGATCACGATTGTATTGCATCGAATGGCAAAAAAAAATGGGGATTTTTTAACATCCATCGTTGGGTTGAAAAATTCTGATAAAAAAAAACTCCGCATTTATGTGCCGATTGATTTCTAAAAAATTCATTGCAAAGTGATGTTGTCACACACACACCCACACATGCTTATGAATTTCCAAAAAAAAAAAACAAACAACAACGGAATTGTTTCAAACTTTTTCACCGTCAATGATGATGATGATTACATTACGCATTACACATTACATTTCAATCAATGATTTCATCGATATCAATTTGTAGGAATAACAAAAAAAAAAAATTTAATTGAAAAAAATAAATGCATTTTCATTGTCATGTGTCTGTTCTCATTGGTTTCCATTAATCGATTGTTTTCCATTCAATTGACAATGATTAGGACAAATTTTTTTTTTGTTTCTGTTTTCTGTTTTTCTCACCATCAATTTTTGAAATTAGGGACAAAACAAACAAACAAACAAATTGAGGTTGTCTGTCGATAAAATAAAAAAAAAAAAAAAATCAAACAAATCGATTGATAATTTTTTTTTCATTTCCAAATATTAATCCGTTCGTTGTACATATTTGTCCTCTTGTCGTCTTCTTTTTCTTTCATGAAAACAATGAATAAATCTCAATTTCAATTTTTTCTCTCTCTCTCGTTTCATTTCGTTTTGTTCGTCGTTGTTGTTGTCAATGATGATGATGATGATGATAATATAATAACAATTTGATTCATATTAAATAGAACACAAATACAATCATGCATCATCATCATCTATATCTATACATCTATACATTGAATATAATCACGTTGATTAAATTGTAGTTCATCGATAATAATATAGAATGTACATTCGAATGATGATGATGATGATGATGATGATGATGAAGATCAATGATCAATAAAAACATTTCAATAAATCGTATCATCATCATCATCGTCATCATCATACAATGATTCAATATTGCCATTTTCACCAACTGCCAAGTGCTTGAAATATGAATAAGAGATGAAAATAGAATAGAAATGTGAAAAACATGAGTACAAATAAATTGAACATAAATTGTATGCGTTCCAAATGTTTAATTAAATTATATATTTTCGCTTTCTCTCTCTCTATCCCTCTCTAGAGAGAGAGAGAGAGAGAGAGAGAGAGAGAAAGGATTCCAAGAATATTCTGTGTTTTTTTTCTACCACCGATGATGATATAGATAGTGATAAAATCCATATATGAATGTTTGGAATTTATTTTTTTCATTTTGGATTTTTTTTTCGCTGTTCATTCTGTATGTGTGTGTGTGTTGAAAATTTAAGGAGAAAAAAATCAATAAGGATGGAAAACATGGCATTTACACACACACACACATTCGTTTCATCATTCAAAGTGATCGATTTGATTTTATTCGTCATAAAGTTTTGAAATTAGAATCAAATTTGATGCTTTTCTTTTGTTTTGTTTTTTTGCATTCATTCATTTTCAGATTTTGACTTTTTTTTTTTTCACTAAATGCAAAAACAATCATACACAACATCCTCATCGTCATATCAAGCCGGTGGTTGTTATACCTGTGTTTTTATAGAAACAAAACAAAAAAAAACCAAAACAAAATAATCGATATTTACGCAACGTAATCGATCATATTTTCATGTCATTTTCATTTTCATCATTTTTTTTCATGCATATACACACACACAACCCGGGTTGGTAGCCGAAAATTTTTGGCTACAACAGCAGCAAGCCAACCAACGAAAATTTGAAAGTTTTATTTCTCGTAACCAATTGTAAAGATTGAAAACAAAACAAAAAAATAAAATAAAATTCATGTTTATAGTCAAAATTTTCTTCAAAATTTCACCATTTTTCATTATTCAAACAGATAGAGAGAGAGAGAGAGAGAGAAAAATTGGATTTTTTTTCCTTCCACAATCCCCCCTTTCTCCCTGTTCTCATGTATGTAAGTGTTGTTTTGAGTGTGAATAAAATAAAACCAATCGAATCATAACCATCATCAATCATCTTTTTATACAAAGTCCCTTCCCCCACATTCATTCATTCAGCTCCTCTCACATCGTATCCATCCATGAAAGATTCCATTTATTCTGCATTCGGTAGGTAAGAAATATTCTCTCTCTCTCTCTCTCTCTGTGTCTATTCATTTATATTCTACATTCAAATCCGTTATTTGTTTCACCGGAAAAAAAATTAATCAAAGAAAAACTTTTACATCAATTACACAAGTGCACAAATATCTCTCTCAGAAGGAAGAGAACAGAAAAAACTTAATTGATTCCATTATTTTTCAACGAATAAAATGATCATTTTTTTCTCTATTTAAATTTCAGAATTCCTTTTCTTCTCGTGAATGCCGCCATAGATTTGTCGTTGTTTGGATGGACTTTGTTGTTGTTGTTGTTCTATGTAAAAATATTTTCCATTGTTTTGTTTTCCATGAAAAGATTACAATAATAAATGATTCATGTGGGACTACATTCTATATGATGAGGAATTATTTTGCCAAATTGATTGGCCAATGTCGATTCTGAAATGGAGAAATGAAAATTTTTCATTTCTCAAAAATGAGATGGGCGAATAAGAGTGAAAGAGTGCGTGTGTGTGTGTGTGTATGTGGGTGGGCGGGTAGGTAGGAGACAAACGAACCACAAGAATTTGCTTCCGAATGAAGAATTTTTTTTTCGTTTGCAATTCTAAAATGGGGAATAAAACAAATTTCATTAGAAGATAGAAAAGTTTTCTTTCAACAGAATTGGGGTTGTAGGGAAAAACTTTTTCAAAAAAAAGCAAAAACAAAAAACTATTTGACAATTAAACCCAACATGATGATGATGATGATTTGGTGTGGCAATAAAGTTTTACACACACACACACACACACACACCTTGGATTGTATTATATGCCCTGCTCTTGTATTTCGTCGTCGTTTAAAAAAAAAAAAAATCTTCCGCTTCATTTATTCCGGTTTTTTTTTATTTTATAGTGATAAAATTGGAATTAATTAGCCCGAAAGCAATCATTTCATTTCATTTCACGATCATGATGAAAATGATCGTGATTGATTCAACGATAATGGCGACACTGTTAATGATGGTGGTGATTTTGGCTGCAAATGGCCATTATCAATTTTCAATAATGGCGTACGTATTGTTGGTGAACGTAATTGTAAATCTTTCATATTTAAATAATAAATAATGAAAAGAAATGCCGTTATGCTTAGTCCTATGAGAAAATCTATGAAAAGAAAAAACGAATGTGAGTGTGATGTGTATGAAGAGCAACAAAAAAAAAAAAAAAAAAAAAAACTTACAAAATATTGTAAATGGTGTATCATATGTTGGTTGCTGATTTCTAGATGATTGATCTTTACGCGTCCATTTAGATGATCCAGATTCTTGTGATGAAAATATTTTACCATTTTTGATTGATGATGATAATGATGATGATGATGATTGTTGTTGTGATTGTTGCTGATGCAATATTGATGGTATCGATGATCGATCCTCTTCCAATGTTATGTTTTCTTTTGATTGTATTTGATGTATATCCCCGTATATTGGTTCATCATCACCAATGTTAAAACCATTGCCATCACGATGATGATGATGATGATTAGATTTGACATTTGTATTGTGAAACAATAATGAATTCACAATATTGATAACAGTGAATAATAATAAAACAACGATGATGATAAGTATTTTGAATATTTTCATCATCATCATCATCATTTTGTTAGGAATAAATTTTTTTTTTTTCACATGAAATAAAAAAAAAACACCGAATATATATGTGGAAACACACAAGTACAATGTTTAAAAGTAATGGGTGAATATTTTTCATTGAAATTCTAATTCATTTTTACGGTGTGTGTGTGATGATGATGATAACAATGTATATTGTTAAAAATCTATAGATTCTAGAACATGAGAGAGTGGGTGTGTGTGTATTGGTGGGTGTTTTCCATTATTTGATTATTTTTGGAGTGAAGAAAAAAAATGGTAACAAAACAAGTATTTTGTTACCAAAGCTAAGCAAAGCAAAAAAAACGGCAGCAGCAGCAGCAACAACAACAGATTTTCTTATTTTGTTGTTTCCTCTATTTGTTTGGTTTCAATTCCGATGAATGGTGATGATAACAAAAGATAGAATCTTCATTTGAATTACAAAAAGAAACGAGTGGAAACAAAATTCCACTAAATTCTTTTTCATGTTAAAGCCGAATTTTTTTTTTTTTTGTCTTGTTTTCGTTGTCACTGTGAAAACTACCTTGTGTGTGTTTTCTTTGTTGGCTTTTATCTAATCATGAAGATAAAAAAAAATGAACATTATCAATGCTAAATGGTGATTGTCATTGGATAAATCCAGTGTGTGTGTGTGGCAACGCAATGGAATTTTTTTTTTTCTGAATTTGATTTTGATGAAAAAATGCAAGAAATTTATTGGAATAGGAGAAAAAAAAGAATGAAAAACATAATGAACCGGTGTGTGTGTGTGTGTGGTGATTGAAATCAAATAATTGTAGCCACCGCTGTATCGATTGTTTGATAAAATTCTTTCGATGCCATAATCATTAAGATGATGATGAATATCAACGCCAATATCATACCGATTGCTGTGAATACATCTGAAATAGAAACATAAACAACAGTAACAACAACAACAACAACAAAAAATTCTCATAACTTACTCATTATTGATCTCATATTAATGCCACCACCATATGGATGTTTTGATTGATCTGATATGGATCTTTGATGTATTTTAGCTGGCGATTTTTCGAATGTATCAATAAATACATCTTTACGTATATTTCTAACATGACGATTATATTCATTCATAAATGATAATGTATCTTTATCTAATCTTAATCGTTTTGCAGCATAATCTAGATCCAAATTGTTGTTGTTGTTGTTGTCATTATTTTTCAACATAACTCGACATTCAGCAGTTGAAAACATTATTATCATCATTATCGACACAAATGTGAACAATTTGAACATGATTCAATTGTGTTTTGTTGTGTTATGTTTTGATGAACACAAATTCGAAAACAAAAACAGAAAAACAGAAAAAAATCTTTCACTTTAAATCTATTAACAACTACATTTCAATGGTCATGATTTATGGAAAAAAAAATTTCAATGTGAAATGAAATTTAATCTCACAACAATCATTCATTCATTTGTTTGTTTGTTTTAGCTATAATGTAGCTCCATTTGATTGAATTTTGTTTTTTGATATGTTATCGAATTCAATGAATGAATGATTGAATCAATCAATCAATCAATATATATTAATATATATCGAATGATGATATGCAATCATCGTTTGCTTTCTAATAATGCAATTGATTAGATATATTTATTATGGCGATGATGGCGACATTGCTCTTTTGTTTTGTTTATGGTTATTTCTCTTGATAATTTTTTTTTGTGTTTCATCAGCTCAAATCATTTGATTTGATCATCATCGTCATCATCAATATTGAACACGATTGGATTTGGAGCAGCACACAAGGTGACTTTTCTTTCATTTTTTTTACGATTCAAGCTTTTTTTTATTATTATTTGTTCGTCTTAAAGTTTTGTTTTTTTTTTCTGATCGATAAAATAAAATAGCTTGAATATAATAATAATGGTAATCAAAACAATGGGTCCCTTGGGCGATGTTGTTATATTGGCCGGCAATACACATCCAGATTTAGCTGATGAAATTTGTCAACGATTAGATATACGACGTATGGAAGTGAATCTTTATCATGCTGGAAATCGTGAAACAATGCTACAGATAACATCATCTGTACGTTTTAAAGATTGTTACATCATACAAACGGCAACCGATACAAATTGTAATGATGCTATTATGGAATTATTATTGATGGGCTATACATGTCATACATCGGCATCAAAACATTTGGTCGGTGTTTTACCATATTTACCATATGGTAAACAGGCACGTCAACGTAAACGTGGTGCAATACCGGCAAGACTTTTGGCCAAAATGATTGGACGTGCCGGTTTTCGTCATATTATTACAGTGGATTTACAACATAAAGAGGTATTTTTTTTTTCTAAACAAATTCGGTGTAATTTATAAATAATGATGGATTTTTTTTGTTTCAATTGGAAAAAAAAATATTCAGATTCAAGGATTTTTCGATATACCTGTGGAAAATTTACGTGCATCACCATTTTTAATTCAACATATCCAAGAAACATTGTTCACACAGCAGATTAATCGTTCTGATGTTGTAATTATTGCTGAACATACATCTGCAGTACGTAAAGCAACAGCATATGCTGAAAGATTGAAAGTAGATTTGGCCATTCTTCATGGTACTGATGATAAATTAGGCGACACAGATGAAGTGGATGGCCGTTCATCACCACCACCAGTAAAAGAAATTGAATTTGTTCCCGGTGGTGATACATTACCAGTGCTGACATCATTTCGTCGTCGTCCACTTAAATTGGTTGGTGATGTTAGTGGAAAATTGGCCATAATGATTGAAAATATAATCGATGATGTTGAACATCCAATACGTGCAGCTAATTTTTTGAAAAATGAAGAAGGCGCACGACAAGTACATTTGGTCGGTACACATGCCCTATTATCGCCAGAAGCGGCAAAAAAATTGAATGAATCAGTGATCGATGAAATTGTTGTTACAAATACAAGTAAGTTTTTTTTTTACTCTGAATTAGATTGATTGATTGATTATCATATAATCGGATTGTCATTGTTTGTTGACAAATTTTTGTTTACACATTGTATCAATTCTCATTTTCTTTTCTTTTCCTCTACAGTTCCACATGAAATTCAATCAATGGAATGTCCAAAAATGAAAACAATTGATATTTCAATTTTGTTGACCGAAGCAATTCGTCGTATGCATAATAATGAATCATTATCATATCTATTCACTGATGTTAGTGTTGAAGATTAAACTTTAGTCGATCCAAGTAGCATCAACAAACAACACCACCACCACTACTACCACCATCAACAAACAAACAAACCAACCAGCACATGTAGCAGCAAAAAAAAAAAAATGTCCTAAAGGTTTTTTTTTCCTTGGTGTTTCTCAGGACAATTTGATTTTCTATCTTATATATTGAATTTAAGATGATGATGATAAATAAACCGCAAAAAAATTTTGATCAATTTTCAAGCAATGACAACGAAAAATTAATAAAAAAAATTTATTCCGTTTATAATCATGTTTCACATTATTTTATGATTTTGTTTTTTTTTCAATTTCAAAGTAGAGAGTTGAGTAGAGTGATCTTAATTGAATTTGTGTAAATTTTTTTTTCGCTTGTTGATGTTGTAGAGAGCACCATATCCGGAGTCCGGACAGTAAAATGAAATTCAAAACGAAACGAAACGAAATAAAAAAAGTTTTCAATTTACCGGAAAAAATAGCTTTCAATCATTTTATTTCATTTCATTTTTTATTTTCGTTTGAAAAATTTTCATTCTTTACAAACAAATTCAAATTGAAATTGCAAAAGAATAATGTAAATGACACAGAAGAAAAAAAAGTATGTGTGTGTGTATGACATTATTATCCATTCATCAATTGGTATATATAAGAAAAAATGCAAAGAAAACATTATTATGTGTGTGTGTAAATTGATATTTTGTGCGTTTCAAATCTCCTTGTGTTTGTGTATATGAGATGTATGATGTATTCGATTGATGGATGAATGACAAAAGAAAAAGAAACCATCATCACAAACAAACAAACAAAGATGGAACCAGAAAAAAAAATGAAATGGAATAAAAATACAGAATTTTTTGTAACACAGTGAAATTCTCTCTTGAATATTTCAAAATTGGAGAAAAAAAATAAATAAAGAGATAGAGAGAGAGATCAATAAATTCGATAAATTCTTTTTGCTCATCAAAAAAAAAACATAAACAAAAACAAAACATAAATTCATTTTCAATTTGTAATAATCAGTGTCTGTGTGTGTGTGTGTGATGCAAAAATTCAAAATCAACAGGAAAAAAATATTGAGCTTTTTTTGAGATTGAGATTCTTAATGATAATAATGGTTGATGGATGAGAAACAAAATTCTTTTCCATAGTGTTCATGTGTGAAAGAATTGGGTAAAAAAAAAAATTTTCTACTGGGACATACTTGAAACATTTTGATTTTTTCTCTCAAAATGTAACTTTTTATTATTATTATTATTTGATATGTATCCCTTATTCTTGGATTTTTTTTCTGTTTGTAAGAAAAAAAAAATTGGGTTGGTGCAACAAAAAAAAACTCAAATCGGCAAGTGTGTGTGTGAGTGAGTGAGTGAGTGAGTGAGTGTGAATTTCAGAGAGGGAATGAAAAAAAATGGAAATTGGTTTCATATAAATTGATTATTTTCAATCATTTTTTTCACCAGAATAATAATTTTCGATAAATAGTGTTGATGATGATGATGATGATTTGGTGATATGGTGAAATGGAATTTTTTTTAGAAATTAAAAAAATGAAAGCGTGAAATCAGTGATGGAACACTGATGATAATGATTGTGTGTGTGTGTGTGTGTGTGTGTAATGGTTATGTGAGGTTGTGGTTATTGTAATCTTTTTTTTTTTTTTTTATTCATTGAAAATGATAAGGCCATCAAGTTTCTACTCATCGTCAATTGTTATTGTTGGTTGCATTGGTTTCGATGATGATGATGATGATGTTGATGATGATGGTCGTTGTTGTTGTTGTTGTTGTTTCATATAATCATCATTTGATTCCATTGAATCTTGTTGTTGAATTTGTGCAGAACTAACAGATGTTGATGAACCAATAATAGTGGGTGGATCAATTAAAGAATTTCTTGCCGTTGAATCATTCGATTGATTGACAATGGTTCTCAGTTTAAACCAACGAATGGTTAATTTATGTAATTGTAATTGATTTACATTTATTTCAACTGAACCAATCGGTGTATTTGCATCGAATGTATGGCGACGACGTTGTTTCTCCCATACTGATACTAACAATGTACGACCATAAATGATTGAAGCATCATATTTTAATGTCTGACGATAATGTGGATCTTTACCGGACATGACATGTGTTTTTCGTTTATAAAGTTGACGACCACGATCAACTAAATATGTTTTTACATAGGTATCTGGTGAGAAAAAAAATTTGTGCAAAATAAAACAACAAAAGAAAAATCAAAACCAAGAAATATTAAACGAAATAAAAAATATATATCACATACCAGGTGGATGTGGTCCAAATGATGAATCCGGTAAACCACGTGCAGCACATACTTCAATCTCTAGAAATCCTTTTGTCATGATGAAACCTAGTTTAATTTCACCAACAACTTTCACTATTCGTTTTGGTGGTTCACTATGTTGATGTTGGTGTGTTGTTTGTCCATGCTGTACTGATGTTGAAATCATTGCTGATGATGAATGAAGAATTTCATCCGATGGTTGTGCATTACTACCAGGGCCGCCCATTACCATTTGCATGACAGTTTCAGCTGCCGATGGCATTAATCTACGTAGAAAACTTGGTCTTCGTTCCTGGCAACCAGGAATGGTTAGACCACCACCATTTTGTGAATTATCATCATCATAATCATCATGTAATGGAGTTGGTGGTGCAGTACTACCACCTGATGTTTCTACAGAAAATCTACTACCATGAATGGAATCAATTGCAAGTAGATTTAAATTTGCACCACCACCATTATTACTTCCTACTTTTCCACCACCATTGGAAGTATTTTTCACTGCCAATGATAAAGTATTTGGTGCGTTCAATGTATTTGTTGTTGTAGTTGCTTTATTGGCTGTCTCTTCATTATTATCATTATTATTGATACCTAAAATTTTTCCTTGTAATTTTTGTGGACTATTACGATCTTTATTTTCCAATGAATCCAATGTATAACTACTATCTTTAAGTAGATTATCAAAATCTTCATCATCATCAGATGTATCATCGGCTATTTCAGATTCTTGATCACTATCTTGATCAATTTCAATTGAATCATCATTCATTGTATTCGATATACGAGCACTTGCATTTGAACTATTTTGTTCCAAAAGATATTGATATGAATCAGTGTTACCCAATTTACTATAACCACCAGGGATGGAAAGCTGATTTTTTGATCCTAAAAAAATGCATATACATCAATGTCGATGTTTTGCATTCGGATGAATTTTGAAAAAAAAAATTGTCCCATTTTAATATGAATTTATATTTATGCATCCATTATGAGGCATTAGATATTACCTTGATCCACGTGAACTAATGCTGAAGAACTTTTTCTACGCATGGCCAATGATTGTTGATCAGCAGCAGTGGACAAATGTTGAGAATTATTGTTATTGGTTTGCATCCTACCGTTGATTGTTCCGGCAGTAATATATCCACCAGCAACAACATTAGTACCACCACCATGACCTCCAGGATAAAGATTTCCAATTGAATGACGATTTTGCGCCAAACGAAGAGAACCAGTAAATGGACCAATTGAATTTCCACGGCTACTAGCAACACCACCGCCGCCTGATTGGCTTGTATAAGATTCATCTAAAGAATGGCGTCCAGTACTACTTGCTGCTGAACTAACCGTACTAGAAGCACGTGATGTTGGCGAAGATCGATATCGAGTAAACCAATTTGATACTGGCGGTGGCGTTGGTGATGCTTTCATTCTTGGACTTGTTCTTGCCGAACGGCTACCCATCGGTTGTAAATGGCTCGGAAATATTGGGAAATCACCTTGATCAGAACGATTGGAATTACGACGTGAACCAGGTGTCGATCGTGAAGTCATCATCATCATTGCAGCTGCTGACAACATTTGATCCGGAAGCAGCTGTCCATTTTGGCCTGATTGAAGAATTGAGAAAATAAAGAAGATTTAGAATATAGGAAATGAAAATATTTTTAAAATAATTCGCACCGGAACCAGAACGAGAACCAAGATGGTCCATTGATGGAGCTTTCTGAAAAAATACTGTTGGCGTCATGGATGAATTGGAAGTTGTAGTTGAAATAGCAGCAGATAACATTGAGGCCTGATTGGATGGATTCATCAATGATTGTTGGCTAATACTAATGTTTGGTTGATTGAGCAATGGAATTGATGGTTGTATTGGTTGTGGTCCGGTATTAGTGGCGATAGTAATGGCAGCTATCGATGGAATCTGTTGAATCGATTGAGGAATGTTGATATCAGTATTGCTTGGAATCAATGGCCACCATTCAGATATTTGCATCAACAATGCACTTCTAAGTGGAATTCTTGTCGATGCTAATTGATGATCAATTATGGATGATTGTGGTACTGAGCCACCACTAATGGTTATTCGTGGTGGTTTTCCACCCATTCCTCCACCAGTACCTGGTATATAAGTAGCTGGATTCGTACACCAGATGCTTAAATCTAGGGTGATTTTTTCAATCTGTAAATTTCAAAAAAAAAATCAAGAAAAAAAAATATTTCGATTAAGATTTTTGTGAAACACAGAAAAACAAGCTTATCATCAACTAACCCGTTCAAGTGGAAATTGATGATAGATTAATGTTTCATTCCAATCGAACGAACGACTAAGCTCGGTTTGACATATTTTGAATCCCCTAGGTTATAAAAGTAAGAATAATGATAATAAAAATTCAACATCCAGTAAACATAAAACCATAATATATTGCAAACTTACATTTCTGGTAAAAGACGTAGTTGAGCATATGCTTCTAAGCCAAGATTTTGGCCATAAATTGGATGTCGTTCTAAACCTTTCGCCTGAATGATCATAACCGATAATTGACGAATATTAGCATCAATTGTGACTTGTAAAAAGATTTGTGCATCGGTCAATAAAGCAGCAGCACAATTCGACATTGATGATGCAGAAGAATTTGTTGTACTTGATGAACCAGATTGATGTGCATTTGCTGTAGGAATCTGTGGTAAACGTCTTCTTAATAATGTAGATCCTTGTTGTTGTTGTTGTTGTTGTTGAAGTGTTGTTGTTGATGTCATTGTTGTTGCCGAAATCGATGATGAAATTGATGATATTGATCCACCATCCAGACTTCCGGTCGATATAACAGCTGCTGCTGAGCTTGGACGTGCAGAAGCTGCTGTATTGACTGATGATGTAGCACTACCATTTGTACCACTAGTTTGTGATTCATTTAATGCCGGTGTTGATTGCTTCGAATTCACCATACTATGTCGTCTATGTTTAGTCGGATGATCATTACGAGTCATTGATTCGACAATTAATTCCACTTGATCACCGGCAGTAGCCATTATATGTGCAACTTGCTCATGGCTACAATTCACTAAAGATTTTCCGTTCCATTCCAGGATTTTATCACCCGATTTTAATGATTGCCTATCAGCTTGGCCACCCGGTTTTATCCAAGTAATATATGCATACAACATTCCATCTAGTTCACATAATTTTCCACCGGTAATTGCCAATGAAAATCCTCCTGTTCGAATTGATTGATCGGATTTATCACGCTGTAAAATGGCACGTTCATAATGAGTTGTTATTGATGCAGCACGAGATAATTGATAACGCATTCGTTGTTGCAGAGTTGTAGCTGTTGGCACCTGTATAATACTTGGTCCTGGATGTGGGGTTGATTTTCCGGCTATAGCACTACTACTACTTGGAGTTTCGGTTATATTTTTTACATTTTCCGTCGACATTTGATTGGTTGGCGTTTTTGTTGATGCAGTCGATAATTGCATGTGACTAGCAGACAGATCACCACATTCATTAATTACAATGCGTATAGGATCCGCTCCGGATTCTGGAGCGGAAGCACGTCTTGGTTGATCGGCAGGAATATCCAACGAATGTTGTGATCCTTTACGAGATTGTGGTAAATCTAACATTGAACTGCCACCACCGACAACAGGAATCTTTGGCAAAGCTCTACCTGTCGATCCACGTCTTAAATAGCAATCTTTAGTAGATAAAAATGATCCACCACCTGCACCACTAGATCCGATCCCATCTTCACCTATCATCACAGATGGTATACCACTGCCTCGATATCCCAGAGAATATCCAGGTAAACAAAGCATATCAGAATCAGCTGATTCTCTTGGAGATCGTGAATAATCCGATGATGGTGTTAAACTATCTTGTGGAGGGCTATATCTAAATAAATTTAGTTTATCTCTTGTCTAAAACAATTCATGTTTCACAACACTTACTTGAATCCATCAGAATAATCGGAGCTTTCCGAGCTTAATTGTTTTCGAATACCAGGTGTAGTGTAAAAATTTTCCGGCGCTCCAATTGGTGCTGTAGAACCAACTAGTTGACCACGTGATAAACTTCGAGCTTTATTCGTTAAACGCCACCAATGAGTTGCCGTAATGGTTCCAGGTGGTGGTGTTACTTTAGATCCATTTCCATTTCCACTAACCGATATGATTTTAGGCATAACCAAAGGGACTTTTGCTTGTTTTGTTTGACATTGTTGATAAGAAACACCGTAAGATGGTACTGTTGAAGCATCTGAATTCGATGTTCCTGAAGCTAAACTAAATGTTAGATTTTGTTGATGAACAATAGTTGATGGATCAATAGTGGTTTGAGGTTCATCTAATGATGTAATAGTGATGGGTGGCGTACTTGAATATAGGGAATTTTCATTTTCTTTATCATTATGCACCATACTACCCATTAAAAGATCATCATCAGAATTATATTGAATTTTATGATGATGTGCTAATGCTTGATGATGTCGCATTTTCTTTTTCAATTTTTTCGAATTCATTGTCGTCATTCCTTGTTGTTGTTGTTGTTTCAACATTAATTGTTCAGCTGGCATCGATTGTAATGTTCCATAATGGACATTATTGGCACCATTATTCGTCATTTGAACATCAATATTTTCAATGTTTTTATCATTCTCTTGATCATCATCATCATTTTTAAGCATAACATCATCATCTTCATCATCATCGTCATCATCATCATCATTACCATTCCATAATTCTTCATCATCAGAAAGGGAATATACTCGATTTGATCGAGAAGTTTGTTCTGGTTGTAGATTCGATGATGATGTTTTTTGATGATGTGGATGATTTACATTAAATTTTGGCTCTGGATTAATGTTTGTTTTCAACAGTGTTGATGAACTACGATTTAGATCTAATGAACTTTGACGATTTTGTCCCTGTTGACCGAATTGTTCTATGGCTGAATTTGGACGTTGATTTTCTTGCCAAGATAATTTACGCTGGACAAAAAAATTTGATAAACAACATGATGAACAAAAAAAACTTTGAATCAATCAAATCAATCATACCTTTGTATTGAAAGCATTTGGTGTGGCAGATAAAAATTGTTGACCACTTGTTGTTGTTGCTGTGGTTCCTGTTGAAGATAAATTGTTCATTGAAGATGTCATACCAGCTGTTGCTGTGGATGGAGCATCCAATGATGATTGTTGGCGTTTAGATGTTGCTGTTGTTGTTGTTGTTGTTGTTGAAAAGGGTTCATATGATCCAGCAGCTGCCGCAATGGAAGAAGTAGTTGAAGTTTGTCCACTTGTTGTTACCAACACTAAATGTGAACCACGACGTCTACAAAAGCTACACATCCAATACTTTTATAGAAAATTGTAGAATAATTTTTGAAATTTTTATTCCAAAAAAAAAAAAAAAATATTTTGATTTGTCACAAACCTTGGATTCTTCTCTAGAAGAATATGAAGAACAATCATCACAGACCAGTTCTTGGCAATTGGAACATCGATGTGATGTTTCATTTTTCATTATCACTTTTCGACATATACGACAGAAACCGGTAGCATCGGCCGATAAAATTGCCGATGAACGGCGACGATGTACGGCAGCAGCAACTGGATCCAATAAATTTGTTGATAAATGTGAAACATCACCAGGTGCAGCACTACTTTGACTACCTAATAAACCTGATGAAACTGTTGGCTGTATATTTGGCATTGTACCTGTACCCGTAGGCGTTTCAACAATTATCTCGGTTCCGGACATATTTTTGGCAAAACTATTTAGAGCAAAAAAATTTTTGCTGATTGATTATCTGGAATATTTTTCATTTGCTTACTTTTTCAATGCAATTTCTTTGAATTCTTCTTCTTTTTGCCAAACTTTTTGTAAAATTTGCCGTTCTTCTTCCGTTAAATGAGCAGTCAATTGTTCATTGGTTAATGAACTTGATTGTGATGAATGTATCATGGCTAGCATTGGTGCTCGCTGATATCCAGTTGACGACGAAACAGGCGTACCTGCCGTTGTAGGTTGTTGTTGTTGTTGTTGAACACTTGTGGATGAAATTGAACCATTTCGAGATTTCGATGCAAAATCCATTGTATCTTGAAGGGAAGAAGAAGAATTGTCCGTACCAGATGTACTGGAATTTTGATTTGAAAAATTATTAACTAATTGTTGTGATTGTTGTGATTGTGGTTGTTGTTGTTGTTGTTGCTGCTGCTGCTGTTGTTGTTGTTGTTGTTGTTGTTGAAATGTTGAAGCAACTTTGGCTCGAATTTTTGAAAATAATGGTCCCGATATCGGTGATGAAGACAAATAAGTATTTGCAGAATTATTACTACTAAGGCCACTAGCTGTTGTCGATACAAATGGACGTTGTTGATCTGTATTCTGTATGGATGTCTGATATCCAGGCGCACCAATCATTGTTGATACAGTCGATACAGAAGTCATCGATCCAGTTGGTGATGTTGTTGTCTGTAATGATGATGAAGAATTAGGCACCAATGGTGATATTGTATTTGCAATCGTTGACGTTGCCGTTGTTGTTAATGATGATGATGATGATGATGATAAATATGTAGATGAATTATTCATCATTATTATTGGAGAATTCGTCATATTTGAATGGCCATGATCAATTATGTTACCAGTATTTGTTTGACCAAAGGAAGCACTACTACTATTATTTGATGATGATGATAATAAACCTGTATTATTATTATTATTATTATTTGAAGCACCAGTTATGGCAGAAAAAAGATATTTTGTTGGACTTTGAGCCGTTGAATTCTGTGTATTATTGTTATTATTGGAAGCTGTTGTACCAGTGCTTGAATTTCTTTGTTGTTGTTGTTGTTGTTGTTGTTGAAGACTTTTTTGATATTGTTCAAAACTCTGATCAATACTATCGCCACTATTTTGATTGATTGGTGATGCTTTATTTACAAACTTGAATCGATATATATCATGAAGAAAAAAAAAAAAAAAAAAAACAAAAATTGAAATAAATTGCAGCAACATTTATCACAGGGTGGTTGGCAACTACTGATTTTAGCACCATTAGCAGCAGCATCAGCATCAGCATCAGCTGTTCTCATTGTCTTTATAATAAATACGTTATATAATGGAAACTTTGTATTTTCGTGTGTGTGTGTGTGTGTGTGTCTGTGTTTTTTTTTCCAAGTGTAACATTTTTTAAATAATGGAAGAGTAAAACAAAACAAAACAAAAAAACTCATCTCACGTGTGTATGACATCATCATCATCATTATTAACTATCATCATCAACAACATCAACATCAACATCAACATTAAGTCCCAAGAAACCAAATTCATCAACTAAATGGAATATAATAAGTGAAACATAAAAGTGTTTAGAGTGAATAGAAAATCCTTGCTCATTCAAAAATCTAACGTAAGTGAATTTTTTTTTTCATTCAACATTTTTTTTTCCACTTGCATGTTGGATTTTATAATTGATTGATAGTTGATCATCATTAACCATTATAAATAGATCCAGATTCACACACACACACACACACACACACACACACACTACAAAACAGATTGATTGATTGATAAATTTTGACCTTTTTTTTGCTAAACGACAAAGAAGAAGAATCCATCTGATTCTGATCATCCATGATTATATATGGTTGCATTGCATTTATTTACATGGAATTTTTTTTTTTTGGCTTTTACCATTAGTCATAGCATCATCTTCATCATCATCATCATCAAAAGTTATTGTAATTTCAATAATTTGTAACTGCTAAAAATGTTTGTTTGTGTGTGTACATTTCATTCGTTAATGGTGGAGGAGTGCGTTAATTATGATTCGCACATTGCATAAAAATAAATGTGTGTGTGTGTGTTTGTGTCTGTTGATGTGAATGACAGAATAAAAAGAAAAAGAAATGGAAAAACATGAAGAGAAATGAAACCATCATTATGATGATGAAAAATTCTCTCGAGTATTCATTTTATTTTTTTTTTTTTTTTTCAAGAATAGTAGATTCTTTTTTATTCTCACTCACTATAGTAGTTTTTTTTGTGCGAGAGTAAATGAATTTACACATCAACATCAACATTATTATCATCATCAAGAATGGAATGAAATGAAATGAAAAAAAAAAAAATGAATACATTAATGTGGCTTAATCATTTTGAATTGGCTGATATTTTTTTGGTGGTGGGGAGGGTGGTAGCTGATTCTTTTAGTCCATAGTAACCCAAAAGTAGTAGCGGAATGGGTTTTGCAGGTATTCTGATGATGATTTGGACGTCATTTGTATGTTTTTTTTATAGCTTAAGTTTTGCAAAATTATTGCCGAGTAAAAAAGACTAGAAAAGCCTCTTTTGAGATATTAAAAAAAAATCCCATTTTTCCTCTGATTTCAGAATTTTTTTTCGATTAAATCAAAAAAATCAAAATCTCTAGATGATTATGATGTCATAGTATAAAAGTTTGTCAGACATTTATAGATCATTTCCAAAAAATAAAAAAAAAATTACCCACACTTGCACAGGAAATAGGAAGAAGAAGAAAAACGAAAATCGAAAAACTTTAAAAATAGAACAGGTTTTCGTTTTCTTTTTTTTCTTTTTTCCTTTCCAAAAAAATTATTGTTACCATTTACTGTTTCCCATGGGCATTGGATTTTTTTTTCGATTTCAATCATCACAGTGTAATATTTGTGAATATTGGTGACATTTTTTTTCATAAATCTATTTGGTCCGTTTTTTTGGGGGCGGGGGTTGGTTTCAAAAATTTTTCATTTCTATGAAAAATTCTTTTCGTTTTTTTCTATCCCATTGTTCTATTTGAATTTATCAAATTTGAACGATAATGATGATAAAGATGATGTGTGCTTATCACAAAATGTGTGTGTGTGTGTGTGAATTTTTCATTTTTCATTTTTTGTTTCACTTTTAAAAATTCAAATTAAAATATTGAATAATGGGTGAAAATCATGTGAATGAATGAATTGCCCCACAAAAAAAATCAAACAAAACAAAACACAGAAAAAAAACTCATTATCTAACTTGGACTTTTTATTATCGGAAAAAATTTTGGAATTCATTTTTTTTTTGTTCCTATTCATTCATTTATTCATTGGAATTTTGTTGGCGTTTTCGATCATCTAAATACTCGTTTTTTGTGTGTGTGTGTGCATTCAAAGCAAAAAAAAAAAAAAAGTTCAAGTCGCACACACGAAAAATTTTTTTCTTCTTCTTTTCCACTTGAAAAATTTTTTGATTTCCAAGAATTCCCATTTTTGCATTTTATTTTATTTTATTTTTTTTTTTTGCTTGCCCGTTATAAAAACACCTAGACATAATGATGATTATAGTATTTCGAGTGTTTTTTAACGAGAAATAACATTCTTAAGAAAGGTTTGTTTGTATAGAACCAAAAAATTCTGAACTGGTTGTGTTAGTTTGGACTTACCATTTTTCCATTTTGAATTTTGAATTCGAATTTGTGATTTTTTTTTCCTTGTTCAATCGATTTCGATTTTTTCATTTCATTTCATTTTATTTTTTTTTTTTTTTTTTTTTGAGAATCACTGATCTAAATACTCGTTTTTGTTATTGTCGATATTTACCTTTTTCATGAATGAAACAACAGTGGAAGATATACCTGCAGCTGTGGTGCTTGAATTATTATTGGCACTAGCACCAGAACTATTGCTTGTTGTTGATGATGCAGAAGAATTTGTACCGGAACTGCCACTAGTACCGGTACTATTTAATAATGTTCCTGTTGAACTTAGACCACTAGTTATTGGTGATGAACGAACACTTGTAAATGACATTGAACCAGGTACAATTGATTTACGATGTGAATTGAATGAATGTTTATTACCAGTTGCAGCAGCAACAGCTACAGCTGCTGCTGCTTTAAAACGGCTTGTTGAATTTGATCGTGATCTGATTGGCGATGATCCACAACTAACTGAAGCTCGTTTTGTACTACCAGTAGTATTAGTACTAGTTGAACCAACTGATAATCCATATCGTGATGCCAACATCGATGATGTCATTGTTGATGAACCGGCACCAGGCCTCAACGATTGTCGATGATGGCTCAAATAACGATGATGTGGATCCATTTGATTCTAATGATTGGATTTTTTTTTTTTATTTTTTAAGAAATAATTTATTTGAGTTGAGCGACTACATTTAAATATGAATTTTTTTTTTTTGTTTTTTTTGTTTTTGATTTCATCTAAATCAATCAATCAATGTGATATTGATTCATGATGATGAATCTATTTTTTTTATTGCCAAGTTTCGGTTCCATAATTAAATCTAGAGAGAAAGAGAAAAATTAAAAGAGAAAAATTAATTAAATCTGATTCTGCATAGAATGTTCTCCATTTTTTTTGTCAGGCACTCGCGAGAAATTCGAGTATGTGTGCATATATATAAATAATTCTGCCATTCACTTTCTTGATTTGTGTACAACCGCCTACGAGTCAAATATTTTTGGGCACTTTATATCTCATTTTTTTCAAGAATAATAATAATAAAAAAAATGAATGAAAAACCTGCCTGAAGATGATAGAATTTCATGGAACAAGTAGAAAAAGTTACCATAAATGTTTGAAAACACTCGAAAAAAAACAAACATTTTTTTTTCGTTTTCAAGTTTATTTACGATTCTTTTGCATTTTTTTCCATTCTGTGTGTGGATTTTCCACCATTGTTTGAATTCTATTGTTCAAACATTGAAAAACGAGTGAAATTTGCTTTTTTTCCCATATCAAATTGAAATTTCAAGTTTTCTTCACTTTTCCACTTTCTCTCCGTGTGTGTGTTTTTGTGTGTAAATTGATATTTGATTTTCATTCTTTTTATGATTATTTTTTTTTGTTGTTGTTGAAGATTTTTGGAAAATTTTATTTCAAATTTTAAATTACACACACACACACAATATGTTTGATATCAATTTACTTTATGAAAATTTTGTCATCAAATCACACCTTGTTTTGTTTTCTGCTGCAAATAACAAAACAACAACAACAACAACAACAACAACAAGAAAAAGAAAAAGGAGAACAAAAACAACCACCAGATCATTAAAATTACAAATGTTTTTTTTTCTGGGTGTTCATGTGTGTGTGTGTGTGTGTGCATCTTTGTGTGTTGACAGGAAGAAAAAAAAATTTTGGAAAATTAAATATTCCAACAACAAAAAAAAAATGGGCGTAATGAATCATTCAACTCATAGCATACAATAATATATTGTAAAATTTACATATTCTCATTGAATTTGGCGTGGTTATTGTTAATCTAATCAGGTTTCAATGTTTTCAATGTTTTCTTTCTCAATTGTAACAACAACATCATTATTGTGGTCTTCAAGATTGGTGGTTTCTTTATTGATTGAAAATAAAAAAATTGTCATTCATATGTGTATGCAGTTATTTAATCTTGGAACAGAAAAAAAAAGAAAATTGTCGATTTTAACCTCATTCAGTTCGCATACACACACACACACATGTAAAAATAGGTTGATGTTGCCTGCATATGTGTTCATGTTGAATGTAATGGATTCTGTTGTTGTTTTCATTTCTATTCGTTTTTTTTTTTTTGTTCTGTTCTGTTTGTCGTGGAAAACAAAAATAAACATAGAATACAAATGAAATCCGAAGAAAAAAAACCAAATATTTTTTTTATGTGCACTATATAATCGAATATGAACTGGTAGTTGTTATAAACATGACGTTTCATTTCATTTCATTTTATTTTTGGATGTTGAATTCATCATCATCATCATCATTGATGATGATAAAATATAATACTGATGTAAATCTAAATTGAAAAGTTTTTTTTTCGTTTATTTTCATCTTTCTCCTGTTGTTGTCGTAGTTGTTGTTGTTGTTGTTGTTGTTCGACCCGGATTTTGTAAACAACAACAACAACAACATTATGATACAGTCATACAGCCACAGATTTTTTTTCTGTTTATTTACCGTTCATTTTTCTTTTTTATTCGAACTCCTGGTGATTTTTTTTTTATTTGTTGCCTGTTTGGGTGTGTGTGTGTGTTTTTTTCTCTGATTTGGATTCCATTTCCTTACACGACTATAATAGCGAAAAAAAATTGACTGAAAATTGAGATCATTTGATTCTTATAGCACAGATACAAAAAAAAGATCAAATTCCAGTATTTTTTTTTGTTTATTTTTTTCTAGCCAGAAAAAAAAAAAAAATTCCATATTCCTGGGATTTAGTCATCATCATCATCATCATCATTCTGGATCATTAGATCGGTCTAGTGCACTGTGGAGAATTGCTGGTTTGACTCCATTTCTCCATTTTTTTTTTAGTTGATGAAGTTTTCATGATGAGTTAATTATTGCAATGATAATGATGAAAAAATATTTTACAACACAACATTGAACCATGATCATCATCATCTTTGTAGTCCATTAGTAAAAAAAAATCATGATTGTGTATGTCATCACTGTGTAGTACACAGGTAAATTTTTTTGTTTTACCTTTTAAAAAAATTAAAATTTATGATGATGATGATGATGATGAAAATTTGTAACTGTTGTTTGTTTGAATCCCCAAAAGAAATCAATTGATGATGAATCATCGTTATACAATTCCAATAGTATCAATATTTGTTAGATAATACTATATGTGGAGGTCAATATTTGATGATGATGAAAAAATAGAAAAACTTTGATGGCTGGAAAAAAAGGTGGAAAAAAATTTTGATTTTTTCAAAATTGCTTTTTTTTGCTTGCTTTTTTCCCTTATTTGCTCTATTTTTCGTTTTGTTTTGTTTTCATTCATTCATTCATTCCAATCCAATCCAAATAGAAATTCATTCAGCCAGATATATTTAGAAACGAACGAAACAATCGATGATCTTGAATCGTTGTATATCACTGAAAAAAATGGTGGCCAATAACAAAAAAAAAGTCAACACTAAATGCCATCAAGAAACCAAAAACAAAAATTCAATTGACAAACGCAAAAAAAAAAATTCAGATAGAGAAAGAAACACTAGAAGAATTTATAATGAGAGAGAGAAAAAAAATTTTTTCAGTGTGTGTGTGTTTAAAAGAATTTAAGGTTTATTTATGTGCTTGTGTGCAAATTGAACGCAATGTTTGAAAAAAACGAAAAAACAAAAAAATGATGATGGCGCCCAATGATTATTATTATTATTATTCTGGAATTCATTTAGAATTTCATTTCTATTCAGTGTCTGTGTGTGTGTGTATGAGTTTTCATAGAGAAAGAAACACTAAAAGAATTTATAATGAGAGAGAAAAAAAAAATTTTTTTTCAGTGTGTGTGTGTTTAAAAGAATTTAAGGTTTATTTATGTGCTTGTGTGCAAATTGAACCCATTTTTTTTTTTTGGTTGGTTGGTCTATCTTTTTATGTTCACAAGAATAACAGAAATTCCAACGAATAGTGAAAAGATTTATCATTCTTGAATTTAAATTATTTGTTTGTTTGATCGTGTGTGTGTGTGTGTGTGTTCATGTTTGAATATTCTATATTCTACACCGCAAATAAACGGGCAACAGAATAAAAACAAAACGAAAAAACAAAAAAAAATGATGATGATGGCGCCCAATGATTATTATTATTATTATTCTGGAATTCATTTAGAATTTCATTTCTATTTCAGTTTCTTTTCATTTCGATTTCTTTTTGATATTTGTTCATCAAATAAGATGTGTCTGTGTGTGTGTGTATGAGTGAATCGACCTGAAAAATTTTCAAACTTTTCTCTTGTGTGTGTGTGCATGAATAATTCCCAAAGTGTTTCAATCAATAACGACCATTTTTTTTTGTAATGTACACACATTACACTCTTTATCCGGCCTATCATGATGAAATTTTTTTTTTCATTTTCAATTTTTATGCAATCATAATGATAATAATATCACGTATGTCTGAAAAAACAGCAACAGTAACAGCAACAACAACAACGAAAGAAAATATTGAAAATTGCCAAGTCAAGTAGTTTGTTTTCATTTCATTCATTGATCTTGTATATATTTGCCAAAAACAAAAACAAATGTGAAAATCAAATTTCTATTCGTTGGTTTTTTTTTCTCCATTTCATTTTGTCAACATTTTGACAATTTTTTCTTCTTCTTTTTTTTTGCAAATTATTTTTTTTTTTTTTCGAAAGAAAAATAAAATTTTCATTTTTGTAGTACACAAATTTTCCATCATCAATCGATATGTAATGGCCAATTTTGTTTTTCTCGTCGATTTTTGTCTGTGTATCTGTCTGTGTGTGTGTGTGTGTGTTATGATGATTACCACGGTTACATTATCGGCATACCAAATACTTACACCGCTTGTTTATACGACGAAATAAATTTTCTTCACCATCAACAACAACGAACAACAACAACAGTGTTTTTTTTCACTTTTTTTTCATGGACCGGAATCAAAGTTTCGAATACGAATAATTTGTTTTTCAAATATATAGTCCATGTATCTCAAATTCTATTTTTTTTTTTTGATGGCCAAAAAAAAAAAACAAACGTTTCTTGTATGTCCCTCATGTATTTCTATTTCAATGTAAATAATCTTGTTGTTGATTACAAGTGAATAAATAGAATCGAAACGATTCCAAGATTTACTTCATGTGTGTGTGTGTGTGTAAGAATGAGATAAAAAAAACTGAATAAGTAAATATCGACCACCAAATGATTTAATTTCTACACATCTATCTATCTATCTATCTATCTAAAAAGCCTGAAAAGAATATCCGGAATCATTCAAAATCGACATCAACAAATAATAATAACGAAAAAAAAGTTTGCTTCTCTCTTTTTTTTTAGTGAATATGATGAGTTTTTAATGAGAATTTTTTTTTTCATCGTCGTCGTCGTCGTCGTGTCGTCAATCAGATGTTTTTTTTTCAAATGTGATGTGTTTGTTTGCTTCTATAAGTTTATGTTTAACGACAATTTTTTTTTGTTATTGAGATGCGACAAAACAAAACAAAAAAACATTTGATACATTTGAATTCTTGTTTTTCGATAATTTTCAAAACAAAACAACAACAACAACAACAACAACAGCAAAAACATGACGACAACAACCCAAATTTTTTTTGGCTCACAATTCCAATTTCAAGATCAAATATTCACAAATTTGAATCTTTTCTTTTGTGTTCATTCGAGCCGCTGTTTGACATTATT